ACTTTCTTTTTTTGGAGAATTAGAAGTTCACGTTTGCATAGGCCCAGAAAGATAGATATATTGAAAATAGACAAAGAGAAAGTTATATTATAGATATGTAATTTCGGGGTTGGTCCACATACACTATTTCCATGTTTGTTTGCGTTTATGTTGTAGTGCCTCAGCAGGGAAGCCCCCCTGAAACAAACTCTTGGACATAAGTCTCTTTTAATGTGTTGCTTTGACGTCATCCTTCCTGTGTTTCACATGCAGCATAATGCACAGCCATCAAAGTGACTGATGGGAAGACGGACATTGTGAAACTCAGATCCGATCACAGAACACTTCTGCTATAAAAGGCTCTTTGGAGTTCACCGGTGCCCGGCTCGCTAGATTAATAGCTGAAGCATTTGTGTTTGAGGCTTTAAGGCTATTCATTTGCATAAAAGTCAAAGGGAACAAAATCATGCACTTTTAGCTCAAGCATCTAAGATAGAAAAAGGCAACATATTGGGAATCTAATCAAGCCACTCTATATTTTACAGAACCAAAATCCTCTGTCTGGATTTAAATGGAGGCTAAAATTGATAGTTCTGTTGAGGTACGAAGACTCTCTGACACCACTAATTCATCCTCTCCCACTTCTTGTTCTCCAGATTTAGCAAAGCCAACCTTGATTTAAGAGAGTAAGTCTGGGCCAGGAACCCCAGAGACAGGAAGCTGTTGTGGGCTTAGTGGAGGCTCGGTGCTGGTTGGTCCAGCTCCCAGAGGTGTTGAAAAGACAGAAATCTGCATTTCCTGCTATTTTAAAATGCAATGGATGTGATATGCCACTTTAAATGAATTTCCACCTTGGCTTTGCATTGCATAAAGAGGGAGTGCAGATGGGGGTCGATGGAGTTAAAGAAGCAGAGCAGGGTCTGATGATTTTTTTCTGGGTCAATGGCAGCACCACTTACATGTTAACTGACAAGAGGAGAGATACACAAACACAGACAGCAAGCAGACAAACACACGCACACACACACACACCCTTGCAAAGTGGATCGTTAGGGCTTAGCCCCCATAATGATCCCTTGTCTTCATCTGCTGCTGCTGGTTAATTGCTCAGCCGCTGGAGGGGAAGGTTATCGACCAGTTTGACACAAACGCATGACTCTCTCAGAGGAAAAAAGGGTTCGGCCACTGCAACATTAAACATTTCTTCATATATGGTAAGTGAGCAAATTATATTTTTAGCGTAGTGAATCCAGGCCACACAAGAAAATTCAATACATTCTGAGAGCATGTTGGGTGGATAGTCTAACAGAAGACAGGGTCAATCGAACGTGTAATCTCAGATCAGTAAGGGAGAAAAATGCTTTTTTTTCTCAAGGGAGTGGCACTGTATTCTTTGGAAACAATTGAGTATTCTTTAGGTCTTGTTAGACAGCATCCCCTAAATGTCTACTTTGTGTGTAAATATTGAGTGTCCAATCTTCCACTGGCACAAACTTCAGTTGTAAAACTCTCCGAAATGACTCCCTTAACCTTCCCTTGTTTACTTCCTAAATGGGTTTAGAAGTAAAGGAGAGATCTTGTTTTTATTGAAGCAAGACCACTTTACAGATCTGTCTTAGGATTCAAATTGCTTGTGAAATGACTAAACAAGTTGAAAATACAGGAAAACATCAAGTGAAATCCCAAATGAGTCTTGTTTTCTTTCCAGCAAGGCTTCAGATAATATATTTATTACCATTCAGCTATATATTTTTAGCATCAGCTCAGAGGAAGGAAGATACAATGCTGATTTAACGCAGGGCCTTTTGGGGCAAAGCATCCCAAACTCCCTGTCAAGCTTTCACAGAAAACTGCTGTTTCCACAGCCTGATCAAACAGCTGACACAAGCTCGAAAGAAAACACAACTTCATTTTGAGGAATTAAGTCTTGAAATGCCATAGAAAATGGCTAGATATTTGTAATAGAGCATACAGTGTATACACAGTTTAGACTGAGAGAAAAACTAAATCCCTAGCAGTACTTAAACTTAAAAGTAAATGTTATTGGGTTATTATTAAAAAATTTGAGTATATTGTATAATAGAGAGAGAAGGAATTCTTACAGGCTATACACTTCACACTGCTACCAAATACCAATCTCACAAAAAAAATGAACTGGAACAGTAAGCTAAAGCTTTATAGAAGGTAGTAAACCAAAGTAAAGGTTTTAAAGTGTTGCTCCACAGACAAATTGAACTATGTGGTCCATTCCACAGAGACTTAAACATTTACGAGTTACACAGTGGAGGGCAGAGTATTGATTGGTTTCATGTTGGCGGACGTGAAACAAAAAATGGAAACTGAACCCACTCGGGCATTGGGAAGTGAAGGAATGTAGAGAACCATCAGGATACCTTTCTTACTCTTCTTTAAATAACAAAGCTGGCCTTAACTGGGTCAGAAAACTTTGCATTGATGTATGTTATACTTTAGTAAATATAAAACATAAACACATATTAGGTCTACTTGTCCAAAAAAAGGCAGGAAGACATATACACCCCTTATCCACTGATACCACAATGCTGCAAGGACAACACAGCCCTCTGCAGTTGGGGTAAAGCTCAAGGGCACTTTACTGTATGTCAAATTATTTTTGGAAACTCTTTTGTTAGATTCTTGTTCTATTTGGCTTCTGTGATTTAAACTTTGGGTAGTTGATTGGATCCTTAAGTGGATGTTTCATTGCTGCATAAATTCCCTTTCATCACTAGATAAAGTCAACAGAGTGGTCGAGTATTTCACTTTGGATCAACTATGTTTTGATATATCACCACATTTTTGATCACTTCCTTTTCTAACCTTTGAGGACAGTCCTCAACTCTAAACAAGGCTGAAATTGCTGCAAATTGATTAAAACACAACTTGAGATGGATTTTCTTCTTTACATAGCAAACACAAAGAGTGTCCAATAACAAATTCTGCAAGTTTTGTTTAGAAACTAGAAGAAATGATGAGTGAAATACTACATTTGAAGAATAGTTAGCAATAGTTTGACATATTAGGGAAATGTACTGTAGGCCTATCTGTGGAACCATCTACTGAGTTCATGGGTTTAAACTGCAACCTACAGTATTGACTATGCCAGGGGTCGGCAACCCCTGGCACGCGTGCCACCAATAGCACGCGGCACCGTAACCAGTGGCACACTAGGAATAAGTGGAATAAGTGTACAAAATATTTATTTTATTTTCGGATCCTGAACGAGACCGCCGCCAGAGCGCGTCTCCCCGTTACCTGCAGAAGGAAGCCATGCGCGCAACGCAGCCCCACTCAAAAAGGCCGATCGCGAGACGTAACATACATGACACTTTTCTCTGTGTGCGGCAAAACAAGCTCGCCAAAATCGCTTCACCAGTCTGGCAGTATTTTAAGGTGTCCGAAAAAGACAATAAAATAGCGGTATGCAACGTGTGTGAAGCATAAATCCTGCAGCTCCACCCGCTGTGACGGACCGGTGAGCGGAGCAGAACACACAAGAGTTAGACCTAACACACTTAGCTATTTGATCTACCTTTGGAACTAGTTATAAATATATTTATTCTTCACTGTCACTCATTACTGGATCAGTGAGCTGGCATGAGATACTGACAGGCTGTCAGAGAGAGAGAGGGGGAGAGAGGAAAAGAGAGCGCTTCCGCTCATTTCCCCCGTGTTATTATCCAAAGTTAATGTAAACTTGAATAATATAGGCTACTTCATTTTAATGTAACAATTATGTTGGTTGTTGTTTGTGGAAGCGCCAGTGAATGAGCCCCATTAACTGAGTTTTAAACATCACTTTTCACGAGTGTTTTCGTCGAGCTCCTCAACACCCTCTCCCCCCCGCCCCCCGTTGATAATTCACGATCGTCGGCACGCTGATACATTTTTTTTTTTAGAATGGCACTTCATATCAAAAAGGTTGCCGACCCCTGGACTATGCTATACACATCAAAATCGCTATCAACCAATCAGTGTTCATGTTTAAGTTGGAAAATTGAAGAAAAATATATAATCTTGAAGGTATCTTAAAGGTGGGGTAGGTAATTTTGGAGAAACCAGCTCGAGTGCGCTAGAATTTGAAAATACATACACAACCGGAAAAAATCCACAGATGACATTTTTTAATGGATTTTTTGTCAAAGCACTTAAGATATTCATTGCTATCGGGATGTTAAGATCATTCCATGGAATATAACAAAAAGTGTATCTCGAGCCGGTTTCTCAAACTTACCTACCCCACCTTTAAGTAACTACAATAGCAGCTTGAATGTAGCCTAAATATGAATATTTTTTCATAATCCTTAACCCTATGGTATGGTTAATTGGTCATCCAATTAATATTTTTGTAGTGAATTTCAAAGGATGTGAGGATGCATGAAATGAGCTGAAAATGTTCTGCTTTATATCAGATTAGTTCAATAGCATGGTGAGTGATGGAAACGTTTAACAAACGTCCGGTTTTTACCCCGGATATAAAAGGCTCTATATGGTCGGGGCGGCTGCTAGTATTAAGTGGACATTATACAATATGAACAGCTCGCTAATTTAGTACAAGCTCACAATGGGTTATTGTTAGCATTCAATGTGTACCCCAGCATAGTGTAAACAAGTTGCAGGACCTGCTCTAATGAATCAGTGATTAAATGCATGTAGCTAGCAGCATGCGGCATGTAGCTAGCAGCATGCGGCATGTAGCTAGCAGCATGCGGCATGTAGCTAGCAGCATGTAGGCATGTAGCTAGCAGCATGTAGGCATGTAGCTAGCAGCATGTAGGCATGTAGCTAGCAGCATGTAGGCATGTAGCTAGCAGCATGTAGGCATGTAGCTAGCAGCATGTAGGCATGTAGCTAGCAGCATGTAGCTAGCAGCTAAGCACGCACGTCTGGCTAATGCTAACATTTTAAAATGCGTCATTCCTTCGTCCACTCAGAAAATTAAACTTCAGAGGGGTGTGTAGTAGCCTTTCTGTAGTTTCGGTACTTTTGTGACATGTTTTAGAACTTGAGGAGGGACAGAAAAACTGGTTATTATGGCACATCAAGAGTGAGTGGACTGTAGCATTGAGAATGAACTAGGTAAAAAGTTGAACCTGGAACAAATTGAGGAGGACTTCTTGGAGCTAACCCACAGAATGACGTTCAAAATGCTAGGTAAGTACAACAACACTGTGTCTCATTTCTCTTTTGCATTAACATTTGTTTGAGCCTGTAAATTACAGTGCGGTTGTTTCAAGAAGTGTGCTATTACTTATGATGTGGTTCAATAATGCTTGTGGCATGATAACATCGGGTGCCTGTTTTATTTGTATGGTACTAGCCTCTGTTTAATTTACTGAGTTGTGTCCATTACTGCTTAATTCTAGTGAGGTGGTTGTGGATTCATAATTGATAATCAGGTTTATTCTAAGGCAGCAAAGTGCTGTCTATGGAAATGGGATTGTTTGTTTGGACATTTGTACTTATATTGCTCATATTGTTCATCATGCCCTCCACCTTAAAAAAATACATTTTAACTTACTTTCATTAAGTACATTTCTACACTTGAACTGTTACTTGGGCCACATTTCTTTAGACTACATTTGGACTTTCTTTTTCTTGAGTAAGAGATTCTTCTACTCAATCCACCTGGCTGTATAGTGAGAGAGTAAGAAGCATAATTGTGAGAAGATGCAGTGTAACTGGTGGCAACAAGGACTGAACACAGGAAGTGATTTGCAGGGATGTGAGAAGGTCATGAAGGAAGATGTAGCTCCACTCATCACCCACAGGGCTCTCCACTGGAGCAGCAGAAATGATCCTCCATCAGTCTCTTACTTCCTCCACCCTCCTCTGTCTTTTACTCTCCAATGCTTTCCCTAATAGACTGTGAAGAACAAGGAGAGCCTAGTGCAATTATACTCATGCTTTAGGAGGAGGTGTTATAATATGCTGGTGTCTGTGTGTGTAAAGGAAAGTTAGGATATGGCTTTTGTTTGAGTTTAACATTTTAGTTGAGTGAAGGGAAGTGTGTGTTTGTGTGTCTAAGCAAGAGAAAGAAACTTCAAACATTTTGCCCTCAGCCAAAAAACTGAAGTGATGATTTTTACGATCTTAAAATATGCTAGAAGTATTTATGGCCAGGAAAATGTACAATGAAATCAATCATCACAACTAGGAAATGTTTAATATGAGTAACCTTTTAGTGATGACTCCAAAGCTAGGTACCAGGATGAAAAGTGTAAAAAGAAGAAAGCATCTTGAAGACCAAATGGGTTGTAATTTTCAGTCGTTATCAGGGCCTCATGCTTCATTTGCTGCAGAGATTGGGTTCTTTCAGCCATTTCAGTAATTACACTTTTCAGTGACTTTGGGGAGTTTCTGTGATTTGATCCAAGCACTCACATTTGTTTGATTGTAATCTTGTTTTGTTATTATAAATCTGCCCGAGGTTGATCAAATAATACTTGCAAATTGATTGGATGTTACTCGTGCTTTTGTGTTGTCCTGTTCTCGTGGATTTTGATAAGACATTTCCCTGTAGAAATGCTTTGATTGGGCTCACACAATGTGAATGTAACTGTGAAAGTAGTTAAGTGGTAGACCATATGCTCTGTATGTACAAGGTCTCCAGATCCATATTGCTGTTTCTGAAGTTGCAAGGTGTTAGATTTATGCTTTGGCACTTGTGGAAGAAATTCTTGCAATGAACTGATCAAAAAGTTGTCCTTCGATCATCTTTTGCAAAAGAAGCACACAGCATATAGAAAGCAATGTCTGTACAGCAACTACTCAAACTGAAGAGTCTGCTTTTTATACAGTTTCAATGAATTCAGGCTTGGTCAAGAGATAAATGATCCATGACCCTGTCAAAGGACTATATACCCATGATCAGATCAATGGTCACCCATTGTGTGGTCACATACTGTACCACCTTGTGATTGGTCATCTACCTGAGTGATGATATCGCAACTACACTGATCTACTATCTTTTGACCTTTCTCTTGTGTTCAGCCTAAGGTGACCAGGTGTCCCACTGAGTGCGGGACTGCACAGCCTTTTAATCATTAGTATTTATAAGATAATAGTTTCAATAGACACATTATATTAAATCAACACTACCTCTTCACGTCCCGCATTGTCCCACACAAACATACTCCATGTCCCACATGTGGCTTGTTGGCACCTGCCACTGGATTCACATTAAATCCAGTTGTAGCTGTCCAACATTTTAACAAGCTCCAGTCGTCCCCGAGGGCATGTCAACCTTATGCTGTCCTGGCAAATTGTGGAGATCCTGAAGTTTTCTAAAATACTAAAATATTACAATTTTGAGGGGTAGGGGAATTATAGTATGCAAAGAAATGTGTGTGGAGTTTGTTTCAAAAGCAAATATATGTGTGTGCTCTGAGAAGAATGTGAGAAAGTGAAGTGACTGTGTTGAAATGTAGCTTTAGAGCAAAGATCATGTGTCGAAGTCATGTCACTGGGTTCAGTATGCATACACTGCACACTGGTAACACATTAGTGCAGACAGCAATGTATCACTATATAGTCCCCTGAGAGTGCTTTATGATGCATTCAGTCACCCTCGGTCTGCTGGAATATAAGTCTTGAATAGAACAGACACACAACATGTAGATTGAACATGAACATTGACTGTAAACAGTATAATAGCTTGCCTAAGTGTGTTTTTTTCTTTTGTGGCTGTGCCTCTTTATGGATCACACTAATGAAACCATCACATGGCACAGGTCAAAGTTTAATCTTCCGACATTTAGCTGCGTGTCTTCCACTTATTACAGCTCTCTCTGACGTGCGTTAATGTCAATCTATATATCTTTTCCCTTCACAGTCTGTGAGTGATGGAATGATTCAAGGAGTAGAGACAGACAGAGGGAGGCGGATGTATTTATTGAAGCACGTAAAAGATGGATGGAGGAAGCGAGAGAGAGAGATGAGCTGTCAGGGGTTCTGAATGGCAAAGCAATTTCCACCTGCAAAAACAAGGCCTTTGATTCCCCGCTGCACCGGCTCACACAGGGGGAAGAGTTCCCTCTGTGATGGTATCCGACTTGCTGTTATTGCCTTCACTTACTGAGCTCTGAGTCTGTAAATAGACATGCATACACACACAAGGGTGCATGAACCCCCAGCAATTGTGTGTTTCAAAAGCATTTCTCGGTCATTCATGTCATTCAACAAGTCTTGTGACAACACGAGGTTGCAGGAATGCATGCATAAAAACATCTTCTTACATTTTAAAGGCGTTAGCAGTGTGACAAGCATGTTAAAAGAAACAAATCATAATGTCCTCTCAGAAAGATCTGCTGTCCACTACACTTTCCTCCCCTGCATACATTTTCTGTAGAACAAAAAGCAGTAGAGATATCATATTGCACCTTTTGGAAAGGCTTGAGATAACAGAACGTGTGCTAATGGTTGACAAATAAAGGAAAGACAAACATTTCGGCGTACGCTGCCATAAAAGGTGGATGAGTAGCTAAATTAGACAAACAGTGGGTCAAGGGATGTCACAGTGGTGCTGGTAGAGAGGTGATTATGAAATGGGATATACGGAGCAGGATCTCACTCATCTTCATTTGCTTCAGTGCTGATGTACATGGACTTTGTTCTTCTGTGGAATGGGTGCAAAGCCGAGTGAATACGTTACCCAACTAGCTTGTTTATAAGTCATCCCTTTAAGCCTCACCGGGGAGGAGAGAGGGAGAGGAGGAGAAGGTAAAAGGAATGACTTGGAAAGAAGAGGAGGAAACGGCAACAGGAGAAAAACCAGAGGAGCAAGAACAAGCAAAACTAAGTAAAGTGAAACTGGGATCTTCCAACAACATATTTTTAAAAACGTTTTCAGTGGTGTGGTGCAGCAGCTGCAGGGATGTGGATGGATACCAAAGCAGAGGAGAAGGAGGCCAGCAGGAGTCGTGCCAGCCTTGGCCAACGTGTGTTGAGCGGTCTGCTGTTCTTTACTGGGGATATGGAGCACTTAAATAAGTACATGCAAGGTAGGAAACATCTTGAACACAGGTTTAAAATGGTCTGACCTTTAAGAAAATGTGTTCAGAAAATTGCGTAATTCATCAAGTCTGAGTCTTCTCATAGGACTCTGATTAATTGTATAACTTTTTAAAAAGAGCAAGTTGCCAAACACTAGGAATGTGTTTAACTGCCAGAGTCATAAATACACGACTGTGAAATGCTGATGTTGACATTAAAATATGCAGATGTAATCATCCCACAACTCCCACGGTGAGCGCTGCTGCACTCTTCCTCTACATAAAACATAATCATCATTAAACTCTCATCTTGGTTCTTGTATTAAACCCTGTATTGCCATCACCAAATCCAACGGGGGAACATGGATTTGTTTGTTATTGTACTATGTAGTCTCAGAGGGAAAAAAATGTGAATCTGTTTTCTTTCTGTGTCTACAGACAAAGTGTTTGGGCTACAGCTAGCGGTGTGGGGCCTGAGAGGGGTGTCCAGGGTGATCCTAGCCAACAACCCGCTGAGTGGAGCTCTCATCCTGGCTGCTCTGTGCTGGGCCTCCCCCTGGCAGGCCCTGCTGGGGACTCTGGGAGTACTGACCTCCACGCTAACAGCTGTTATCATGGGCCAAGACGGGTAAATGTAAACACAAGAAAAAAACCTAGAAGCTTGTAAAAGTGTACATTATTGTTTACAAATGTAATGAGCTGTGTATATTAGAGCCACACGACATCAAAATGGCCCTATTAAAAAACCAAGCCCTCATTATAAACCTGTCTGTTGCCCGGTAGCCGACCCTGTAACACAAGCCTATAATTTGCTCGACCTTCCGACAAAAGAGTTCTGCTTTAAATTCATGAGAATAACAGCTGCATGACTGAGAGCCCTCTGTTCCCCCGCACTTACTGCCTGCCTGTTCTTATTTAATAAATGTCCTAATATGTACAATAAGCCGCGAACAATATAATATGCCAATATACCACATTATATAAGGTTTTTAAAGTATCTCAGTTAAGCTGGGGCTCCTAATGTTTTAAAGTTTGACATGTTGAATTTATTCAGTTTCCTCCTGGGGCCTCAGCTCATTACAACTTATTATTTTTTTCTCATGGGGACCATAAAAACGTTAATGTGGGTTTTAATCATGAAAACAATCAGTTTATTATAAGTATAATTAATAAATGTTGTTAGCAATGCTATAATTCATTATTTCAACCATACATTTTTGCACACTATCAGGGGCGGCGGGGTAATGAATGGCTAGATAAGGCTAGAGAAGGCTAAGCCCTCCCTAAATGATTGGTCCCTTTTCTATTGTGCACTCCTTATCTTTGTCTCGCGAGCTGCATCGTGACTGTCAGTTAGTGCCTCAGATATTTCTGAAGTTCTATCATGTGCTCTGTGCCCGCAGCTAGCAGGATGTATGAGAAGGACGTGTGTATTTATTTACATTTACGTGTATGTTTACACAGAATCGGTTGGTGTCTCTGCATTACCATCGTAGCTTTAAATAATGATAAGCAAATAATTGTAAAACATCTTTCAACCTACAGTTAGATGGACCGAATAAGATTATTAACAATTAAGAAACTTACTACAGTATATAAATATTTTTTTTGGATGCTTTTCAAGTTATTAATTAACCATCTAACAAGGATAATCATTCCTCAAACTCTTCATAATGTTTAGGGACGGTCAAAAACGAATTAACCATTGACAACTTATATCTCCTGCATCATTCTATGTAATGTTGAAGATGATTTACAAAGGACTTGGTAATCATTAACACATATTCAATATAGTATATAAAATGTTATGTGTGCCAACCAATTATAGCACTACTAATTATTACTAAAGATTATTAATTGTATTTAAGTAACAGTTACATATTTATTACCTAAAGTGACATTAACTTACAGTTGAGCATGTTTAAACAATCCGTTTTTATAAAGTAACTAACTAATAATTGGTAAGTGATTCCTCCGTGTGTGTGTGTGTGTGTGTGTGTGTGTGTGTGTGTGTGTGTGTGTGTGTGTGTGTGTGTGTGTGTGTGTGTGTGTGTGTGTGTGTGGTGTGTGTGTGTGTGTGTGTGTGTGTGTGTGTGTGTGTGTGTGTGTGTGTGTGTGTGTGTGTGTGTGTGTGTGTGTGTGTGTGTGTGTGTGTGTGTGTGTGTGTGTGTGTGTGTGTGTGTGTGTGTGTAGTGCTGAGGTGTCAGGAGGTCTCCATGGGTTTAACGGCATGCTGGTGTCCATGCTGATGGGGGTGTTCAGCTCGGCTGGAGACTGGTACTGGTGGCTGCTGCTGCCCGCCTGCCTGGGCTCAGCTACATGGTGAGACACACACTCTCAACGGAAATTGTTTTAAGCAAGTGACCATCACCAGAGGACAATCTGGGTATAGAGTATGCCACATGAGCTTGAGCATAAAAAAATCTCCAGAAGTGTTCACTTAGAGCAGCTCTCTGAAGCGCCTCTTTAAAGTATTTACACTGAGTGCAGACCAAGATTTTTTTTTTACACTGAGTGCAGACCAAGATTAAAAGACAAGCGATCAGAACATCTTAGCTCCACATATCACTTCTTGTGAAAGAAAGAAGTGGCATGATTTGTTATTATTTTCTTTCACATATGCCAGTAAACTAAATATCTAATGCTGTGAAGGATCAGAAAAATAATTTGTAATAAAATGTCCTAAAATATAAGGGATATTTTCCTTTTCATTATTTTTGAGACAATATGGGGAAGACAAATGACATATACATAATTATTAGTGGTACTGTAGGTAGGGTGTTTTTATTTAAATGTAGTCCTCATATTTAATTATATATTAATCTTATTTATGAAGATTTTGCCGATTTGTTCTGCCAGAGCAGTTGTGAGACACAGTAAGAAACAGTATGTGAGAAATGGACACCAACAGGGAATCTATGTTGGCAGGCCTCTGTATTTATTGTCAATATGAACACCATACAAGTCTACAAAAATCACCCAAACGAGGTCATTTCATTAAAACTGACCTCCACCCTCTCACCCCCCGTCCCCATCTCCAGTGTGTTTCTGTTCAGCGGTCTCGCCCCGCTGTTGGACCGCTGGGACTTGCCTGTCGCGGTGTTTCCCTTCAACATCGTCATCGTTCTCTACCTCCTTTGTACCGGCCCATACAACCCCTACTTCCCGCACCACCTGGCTACACCTGCAGGGCCGATGGAGATCAACGCCACTGAGCTCATGGCAGTGGAGGTGAGGCGATCCGATGTTTGATTAAATAGTTGTTTAAAGGCTTCTTACACAGAAGAATAGAGGTTGCTGTTTAAAAGCAAAGTCTACAATCTAGATTTGTTTTCTTTGTGCTGGGTTAACTTTATCAATGGCAAAAAGAAGGATTAGTTTTGTAGTACAATGTCAAGCCTTAAAAACACACGTTTTTTTAGGGGGTTTAACAAAAACACTGAAAAATGGAACCCAGACATCTGACTTGAAATCACCAGTGCTGTTGTTCCGTAATTTCAGTGAAATGTAGGAACACGGTATACACACATATGTAACCAAGCTTGCAACTTCACAGTCAGCCAGATCATTGACCTTCACAACAACAAAAGTATACCATCCCAGCAGAACTGAAGCGTCTGGGGAGCCCCTAAGAAAGCCTGACCACATTCGATAAATACATGAGAAGAAACTAAAGGAAATTACCATCGTGCAAAGTTGTCACTGTGACAAGTGGTAGTTTGCAGAGCTTTGAACAGTGATTTTCAACAAGGCCCGCCTCCAGAGCCTCAGAGTTGTCCAGCTGTCCTCTGTGGGGGTCCTGTTGATACTGAAGTCACTCTGTGCAGAGGCCCACAATCAAGCACACCAACATTATAATTTTATGTAACCCATGAGATCATTTTTTTCTTATGTTTTGAAATTTCCCCCAAGAAATACAGGAGTATAAAATTGCAAGTCTCTCCCATTTGTATTGTGAAATAAATATTTCTCCTAAATCTTTTTTATATTATAATTTGTGGCTTGCACATCTCTGCCCAACTACTGGGCTGCAGTGTTCAATAATCTGTCACAGGTATCGAGCCTAATGCCATTACTGCTGGCAACCCTCAGCTGCCTTTGCCTATAGGCTCAGAGCGAATCTGATAACCTTTGTAACATTATTGGCAACACTTATAATACTAAACAGATGGAAATCACCATCACCACTTTCCCTCAGTCTTAAGAATTGTTCAATAATTTACAGCTGTAAAAAGTCGGTTACGCATTGAAAGGCTCCTCCAGGAAGTCAAATATATCTGAGGTTATTATGTGTTAGATGTGGTGTGTTATATAACCAAGCCAACAGTTTGTGTTGTTGTAGTTGTAATGTGTTGTGTGTTATGTTTTGTTTTGCACTACTGTAATGTGACAGTCAACCACAACCAATTTTTCATTCTTCTCAATTTGTGTTTAAAAATCAATAAACAAAGTTCATAAAAAACTGAGATTAGAAGTTTTAAAGGGAACTGATAGCAGTGACATGTAAATATGGATGATTGTAAAACCACAAAGCTAATTTTCGGCCAGTTATCCTCTTTGTGTGCTGCTACTGTATGTTGCAGTGAACAAGTTAGGAGCACCATATGCAAAGGATCAGCCAGCAATGACTCACCAGTTACTTAGCAACAGTTACTGATGAAGTTCCTGTTCGGAAATTGTAATAAGCCCAAACTGTTTTAATGAGCAATTCATGATGATTAAAGGTTAGGCTGTTTCAGGAAGTCATTCTTTCCGGTTTCTGTGGACTGAGATTGTGTAGCAAGGAGAAAAAAACCTACTGGCTAAACCTATGCCACTGAAAGTCACTTTGAATAAATACCCTGTAAACTTAAAGCAAAGAAACAGTTTGCTTAGACCACCGAAGTGCAATGAAATGCAGTCGCCTTGAACTGCTTCTCAAGAGACTTTGGTAACAAACCGAGACTCTAAGCAGCTGCTGCTTTAGATCTCTGTGAGCCAGCTGGCATCTCAATGCTCCAGGAGCAACTGAAATGCAATCTTCATGCTTCTGTTTGGAAACAGGCACACCTGATTATGTGATAGGAATCGGAAAAGCTCCATCTTCTTACAAATGTATCGAGTGTACATAAGGATTGCATTTGTGTGTATGTATTGTGTATGACTACTTACAGTTCAATAGTATTTTATGTGGACAACAAAACCAAATGCAGATGCAACCCATTTTGTTCTTTCTCAAACATATATAGAAATGTGTAAAGGATAAGGTTATGGGTGTGATTCCTTCTGTATCTCATACAATATGATTCAAACTCGATTTTCGACTCAGTACCCTGTGCTTGGTGTGGGAAATGATAGCATGAAAGTGTTTGTATAAGTGAACTGATTGCAATACTGTAATCACACAAAGGCAAACTTGGGAGAAAATGTATCATTTGTTAATGCTAAACTAGCACAACAAGAGACATTTGACTTTTAACATCTTTGAATTCTTCTCAGTGACTTAGAGAATAACGAGTTATATATATCTAATACTGGTATTTTGTGTGATTTGTTTCCAAATGACACAATAGTGCTTGACACAACCTTAACTTAGATGTTGGATAAGTATCCATTGGAAGCAACACCAATCTTTAAGAATGAATCGATCGTTCAGAAAATACCAAATATATAATAGATCCCCTACACAATATTGTAGATGGAAATAATGGATGGAATACCTAACTGGACATGTAAGGAGGTGTGGTGGTTGTTTGTGTGTTTCTGAATCGAGGCACGGTAATTGCCAGGAGAGCTGAAGGATAGGATGTGTATTTTTGCACACAAGGATCAGCGAACTGCCTGTGAAGTTGTCTCAACTAGATTAGATATGCTGACAAAATCCCCTCGGTGCTGTTACGGTTCCTGGAGTCAAGATTTACACAAAGTTCTATTAACAAGCACCGCGCCCCCTGGCACAGTATGTCCCTGACACTAGATGATTACTTTTCACAATTTTTCAGGCCAGGAGAGATTTCTTCTCTCTCTGTTTCCTCCTATATAACAGTTTCTCCCTCGTTTTCTCTTCTTCACTCATTCGTCTGTCTCTCCTCTTTTTAAATGCTCCATTTTCATCTCATAAATTCCCTTTGGTTTGCTTCTTGGGAGATCTGAAATCTCAAAATCTTCTTTTTATCTCTCCGCCTCTCTCCTCCCCATCTCCCCATCAGTCTCTATCCATGTCCCTGCTCTGCATTTCAAATCTCATCCCTTGCTACATCTTTCATCATCTCTTTCAATAGCCTTTGTTTTTTGGAATCCTTCTTTGATCCTCAATTCACTTTACAATAAAGAACTAGTGTTTGTGTAACCATATTTTCAAGGACAGCATATAAAGTCCTTTTTTTGTTACAGTCTTTTATTTCCTGTTTTATTTTCTATTGCTTTCCCTCCTTTACTTCCACCCGTCTCTGTTTCCTCCTTCCTTCTCTGCTCCTCTCCTCCTTCCTCTGTCTCTCTGGGGATGTGGATGACGTCGATCCTATTTATATTTAATGTCTCCAGCTCTCTCTGCTGAGGCTCTGGCTGCAGTACCACAACAGCGTATTTAATCCTTCCCCACACAAACACACACTGACCTACACACACGGGTGTACACACAGAGGGTATGCACAAAGAATTGTGTCGAAGAGATATAATTAAACTGCATTTATGACTTGTAAATATCAGCGACTGGCAGGTGCACCCATCCTGTCGCCATGGAAACTCTTCACATCTTACTGACTGTTGGGAATGCAGTGTGTGTGTGTTTCCTGGGTGAAGAAAAGAGAGGCTTGTTTTGACTGGAAAAGAGCTGCTCATATTTTATAATTATGTTTTCATAAGTGTGCTCTTGCGATTTAATACTTGTAAATAAAAAGTTTACAAATGATTTCCAATATGCTTCAACTCATCTCAAAATCTCCTTTTGACTTGTGTCCCTGGTGCAGGTACTGCGTGGCATCCCTCTGGGTGTGGGTCAGATCTTTGCCTGTGGGGCTCTGGGGCCCTCGCTCCTCATCCTGGGGGCCGCCCTGCTCTACTCCCCCCTGCTGGCCGCCCACGCTCTGCTGGGATCAGCAGTAGGAACGTTGGCTGGTGAGTCTCCATCTGTGTGTTTGCATGTGTGTGTGGGAGTAGTGAGAGCATTAGCAACATGGGAACAGTATATTATTGTTTTATAGGTCATACTGTGCATGATAATGTGTACCAGCCAACTCCTTTGGCATTACAAGCGGAAAAGCTTCAATTCTTTCTTCTGGTTTAACCCTGCATTCCTACTATCGTTGGTACTTTTATCTTATATCGTTTTTACTTGTCAAGGTCTCAGTATGGGCCTTTTCAGTGCCATTATCTCTTGTATCACACTCATCCTTGGTTCATTGCTAACAGGGAAAGCTCCAACATTTCACACATAAATGTCATTGTACTAGTCATAGGGAGTTACTCTGTGAAAACAGTTGTGTAATAATGTCCTTTGTGGCTCTGGAGGAGATTATTGTGAGAAAAGAACCCCTGATGATACAATCAGTTATGTCAGCTTGGGCACAAAGACAACATTTATAACAAAAAGCCTTAAGTTGTTTGTGTATGCACGCAGGAAGGATGTGTTATATCATATAAAGGTAGGAACCAGAGTTTAGAGCCTGCTCTGTTTAAGTAGGAGTGTCGCCGTACTGATGATCACCTTGGTTTTTGATAATATAATATTGATATAACAACATTTTGGGAATATATGTGCCTTCGACTGCAGAGTGCAGACAGAAAACAACATGGAGAGTAGGGATGCTCCGATCAGGGTTTTTGGGGCCGATCACCGGAATCAGAATCGGCGGATCGCCGATCCGATCATAGGGTGGGTGGGGGCTATGGGGATCTTCCATTTAAAGTGATGTTTAAAAGTCAGTTAATGGGGCTCATTTTTATATTGCTTCAGTTTATAATCGTAACAGATTGAAAAGTTCAGATTCATTTTTCAATACATAACGCGCTTCCACAAACAACAACCAACATAATTATTACATTCAAATGAAGAACATTATTCAAGTTTACATTAACTTTGGATAATAAGAGGAAATGAGAGGAAGCGCTCTCTTTTCCTCTCTCCCTCTCTCCCCCTCTGTCTCTCTCCCGACAGCCCGTCAGTATCGTCTCATGCAGCTCGCTGATCCAGTAATGAGTGACCCGACAGTGAAGAATAAACATATGTATAACTAGTTCAGCTAGTTCCAGGGGTAGGATAAACTAGCTAAGTGCGTTAGGTCTAACTCTTAGTGTGTGTTTTGCTCCGTGATCCGGTAGAGCTGCAGGTGATCCTGATCTCTCTCCCTTTCTGCTTCACACACGTTGCATACCGCTATTTTATTGTCTTTTTCGGAGACCTTAAAAAACTGCCAGACTGGTGAAGCCATTCGGCGAGCTTTGACAGAGAAAAGTCTCATGTATTTTGCGTCATATGATCGGCTCTCCTGATCAGCCTTTCTAGAGAGCACCGATCACACTATTAAGAGTGAATATTGGCCGATAACGATCGGCGGCCGATCGATCGGAGCATCCCTAATGGAGAGAGTTGCGAACGGACTCACACAGTGTTGACGTTTCGGTTTGTCGGCAGTTCAACCCCTAAACCTCAGGGCGCCCTCATTGTGTCCTTTAATCTGTCCCTTGTGAGTTCCCCAACTTTGAAAAAGCACACAGCTGACTTTGGCTGAGAAGAGTACACCTTTAACAGAGGCAGTTTGATCTCACACAAAGACAACTAGAGCACCAGGCTGTGGAACATGAAGGCTCAAAACATTAGGGCAATATCATATCATAATGGCTGAACAACCCAACAATTACAATCCAAACTTAGTTTGAAAGTTAAACACAATTACTTAATGATTTGTCATTGCACTCTCACCATTTTCTATGGTATATTTAACTAATAGTAAACAAAACGTAAGTAATATAACTATAAATATAATATATAAAGCCTACCTGTACTTGGTTGCTGACACCTAATTCTGCTAGTGAGGTTGCTTAAGCCATACCTTTGCCCAAAGCACAAAGCAATATCATTAACTCATGTTTTTGGTAGCAGTGTGTACTTAGCATTTATTAAACAATCAGTCAGGACCTCAAGTAGATTGCAGGCTCAGGTGCCTGCATGGCAAATGTTGAATTACTGTGTGTTTCAACAAGCTTAAATCCAGGTAAGGATTTATGAAACCCCTCTGGCAGTAAGGCTTTAGGACAGACAGCAGCCTGTGGGCACATTGAAAAGAGACAAAGCAATTAGCCGGGCACTGATAGGCAAACACACCAGTCTGTGGCTGTGTGCTCCTCACATGTACATCACTGTGACTCTATTCAGAGAGAAAGACTTTGAAGACTTCAGCCCCCTGCTTCCGTCTGCTGCTTAGAGTACAACACAGTGTCCTAAAACACTTTGTTGTGTGTGTGTCTATGTGTGTGGTTGTAGCTATGAGTCATACTGTAAAAGGCGGAGTGGGGGTGAGCTTGCACATGCACACTGCTGCTGCAATAACAACAACAGCGGAGATGTGATCAGAGAGATGGGACTGTAATGAGAATGTGTCGGCAACATGAAACGAGCAACGTAGCAAACATGGTGTTTACTGCTGCCATTTGTATATTCTCTATACTTCTCTTTATTTTCCAATCATGTTTTTTCATGTTTTCTCCAGTGAGCCATTTTAGCCCAAATTAAGTCTTTTAGAGCCTTTATTGATCTTGAAAAGCTCCACCATAGTTTAATGTTTTTCATTTGGACACTTGTAATTCGGGGTAATTCATGCTGCTGTTTGCTTTTCATCGAATACCGAAGAACACAGGGCATATGAAATGAAGTCTGGCTCCATTGTTCTGGTTGCCTGTGTTGATTTAGCTCTTTATATGTCGGAAGAATAAGGCTTACAATATTCTATACCAGGTCTGCGACTAACAATTATTTGTATTATTGATTATTTAGCATTAGTGTCTTTATTGCTGCTCTGCACTTTTAGAATAGCATTCCAAGTATCATTGCTTTCGTCAGCGTCTCATTCATCTCCACCTTTGGTGCTGTTCTCGTCAGATGAATCATTTCTTTGAAGGATAAAGCTGTGGTGAGCGACCTAAGGCAGACAGACGGAGGATGTTTTAGAGATGTGTGGCCCCCTGACGATAATCACCATGGCTCTCTGTGAGTAATCGGCCTCATCACCTCTTAATGCGGCCTATACTTCAACTGTGAGAATAACAGAGGGATACATTATTATAGATAGGCCATGTTTAGAGCTGTCATTCACAGCAGTGTAGTGTAAACTATAACCACAAGGGGTTTCCAGAGGAGGAGAACAGGGGCTGTATGTAGGCCACAGCCTCCACCTCTCAATTTATTGGAGAATAATTATAGAAATGCTTTATAGTGGGATCAAATAGAGGAGAGAAGAGAGAGTGAGGCTATGGAGTCAGATGTGTGACATAAAGGGAACTTTTCCAGTGAGATGCTCACATCTGCCTCTCTGGTTTGATTTATTCTTGCGATGATGATTTTGTTATGCAAAAAGGAATCTCTACGTGCACATTGATGTTTATTTATGACCTGTATTACACGGCAAAGTTGTAATACAACAAACCATATCATCTTAATTATACATAACAGGCCTTGAAGGCACAACAAGTAGGATTTGTCTGTTGTGCTTCATAATATCAATCCTTGGAAAACTTGAAAATTCAAAGATTGATTGTGATTTATGTTTAAATATCTGCAAACGTAGTGAATTAAGCTGTACTTTTGGTTAAATAACTTGCAATTCTCCCAAACGATCTATCTATTGCCATCATCGGGTCTATATATCACATTTTGTATTTCTAGATGTAGACGGAGTGCCTCAGATCTACTCTATGCTTAGTACTCAATGGCAAATGTAAGAATGCTAATATAAGTCAGTTACCATGGCAAACCTTAACCAATTTATCAAGATGTTGTCATTGTGATTGTGACCATGTACTGTAAGCATGCTGATATTAGCATTTAGCTTAGGCACCACCTTGCTTTAATACAGCCTCATAAAGCCTCTATATAGACTGTTAGTCATCTCAACATCAACTCAACCCTGTACAGTCAAATAGACATTTGATAGAGTAGGATGTCATGTCTAGGAGAAAGAAATATAAAAAAGGACAAACATAAAGGAGACAAAGAAACTGCCATGTAGAAAAAGGCCAATAACAACATCTGAGATCTGGCCAGTGCTGAAAAATGAGCCCACATCCAGAGCAATCCATTCAGCTGCCTCCACAAACCGTTTCCCCCCTCCAAGGCCTCAGAGGACAGAATGATTGATTCACCAGCTGAATAAAGACTGAAGTCCCAGATGCAAAGTTAGCCATTAAACACGAACACTGGAAAACCACACGGCCTCACATGCATTTCATTTCAGTTGTTCATTCCAACCTTTCGCCCTGTCCTCCAGTCTGCAGCTAGTCTCTGTGGTAGGATGCAGGAAGCATCTGGAAAAGAGGAGAGGGATATTGGGTTTGATATGATAAGAGCTCTCTGACACATATTATTACCATAGGCAATTTCACAGTGGGACTCACCCACACACACATACATTAACACACACACATATTAAAACAACTGCAACCAAATGTATTATCCTCTGAGCCCTCCCTCCCACGTAGCCATTAGTCTTTGACGACACCCTTTATGTGAGGAGCAGAGTGAGACGGTGGGATGAAGGAAGCAAGGAAGGAAGAGAGGGCATGATAAATAAAGAGGGGATGGTTATAATGAACAGGAAGATAGACAGGAAGATAATGAAGTGTGGAATGAGGAAAAGACGGGATGAGTGCAGAGGGAACGTTTAAAGGCAGACTGCAGCAAAGAGGATAGCTGAGAGGGGGAAGAGGAAGAGGAAGAGGATGGCACATTAACCCAGAGTGAGGAGGCAGGACGGGTGTGGTCAGTCTGCTTCAGGACCAGAATGCTAATCTGCTGCACACAATGCCTGGTGTAATAAGGAAACCAATCAGAGCACAGCCACAGGGCCATTTCTCTGCAGAAGACATTTCAAAATGGCCTGCTTCTGCAGAAGAAATCTTTGGCAAACCCCGCAGTATTAATACAGCAGCAATGGCTAACTACATTTATGATAACTTACATTTGTTCATTTAAGTCATTGTATCTTATGTTAGGCACTAATGTTAATGCATTATAGTTTAAACCGCTATGCATTCAAGCGTTTTAAATGAGTTTGGAAGGGCTTACTCAACCAAAATGTTAGAATTAGCATACGCGCTAATGACAAATGTAAGTTTTGTAAGTGCAACCAGGCTACTGAGCAAGGATCATTATGTACTATTTCCGAGGAGCACATTCAGCTTAGCAAACATGTTTTTATTACTCATATTTGTAAAAAAACAAAAAACATTCCTGCTGTAGGGTTCATACCCCGACAACGTGAGTACTGTTCATATTGTTAAACATTTGGGTAAGCAGTTTATTTCTTTCTGGTGGGGGTTCAGGACATATGGCCTCTGCGACGCTGGGTGTTGTCAGGTGAGACAATCTTCCAAACATTAACCAGAGAGGGCGAATCTATCTATTGCTGCATTATGCTGCTTCCTGGCCTTTGCAGCTGATCTCAGTGGCCTCACTCGTTCTGATGACATCGTTATGGCCCCTCGTGTGGGTTTAGAGACAGCGCTGCTGCTGCTGCTGAAGGCCAGCAGAGAAAAGGTCAATGCTTTGGGGCTAACTGAGATTTATTTGGTCCAGCACGCCTCCCTGTGCAGACAGTGCATATATCTTCAGCTTCACAGCGCAGTGTTTGTTTTGTACGAACATGAGACATTGACCTGCTGCTCACCCACCAAACACATCAATATTCTGCAGCAGTACTCGCCAGACTGGATGAATGAATCAGGACTGAAACATGTAATACATAAAAAGAGCATCAATACTTTATATGTCATTTTAAAGGCTTTTTAAAATGTTCCCTCCCACTTGTCACAAGACTATTTTACTTTATTTAGCAATTTCTCCAGGTTCAAGTTAAATTTACACAAACGTGATATCACGGTCTCTTCCAACGAGTGTTGTCTCTGAAGGTTTCAGATACTTCAGGGTGCTTACTACCACTTCATGTAATGATCTAGTTGCTAACAATGTTCCTCCTCTTGGTCACCTGCTGGTCTTCCGCCTCATATGTCTGGCTTTATTGATTCCCTCAACCCTAACCCAACAGCCCATCTGAAATTGAGTTGGGAGCAGGAATTTGGTAAAGACATGGGGGACCTTATTCTGACCTAGTCTACTCTGAGATAGGAGTTAGTATAAGTGAGGATGGGTTTGTAGTTTGCTTTTGTTTATGTGTCTTGTCTGGCAAGTCGGAGACCAGTCCACTCGGACGTTAAATGCACTCCACTTTTTAAGGTTTGTACTATGTAGAATAAATGAAAAATACGTAGTAAGTAGTTTACTAAAATTAAGGAAATGTGAAAATAAATATGCAGCTTAAAGGTCTCCATATATGTTTTGTTATTCTGTGTGATCTCCACCAAAGCTTTGTCTTTCTCTCGAGTCGTCTACAGTTCCAGACTTAGATTGTTTCCTGTAGGTCAACTCAGGCTCCCTACAGAGGAGACAGTAGGGCTCGTTAGGACTTCCCCTGCCCAGCTGACTCACCATCATCACATGACTTCTGGCTTAACACAGCCTTTTCCAAAATGGAATAAAAATAGAAATACAAGAGACGAACCAGACAAATCATATTTCAGCTCCTCCCATAGTGGTGCATCATATCCTGGAAACACGATTACACAAGACTTCAAACTAATATCTATTAGCAAGCTTTTAATCAAAATACGTAAGCAGAGATTTGTCCGTGTAGGACCAGATATTCATATTCCTTATTTGTAGTTATGAGGTAATGGAAGGGGAACCTCAACATTTCCTTATTAGGTTACACGCAAATTAAATATAAAAATGAAGGGCAACCATACAACTGTGTGTGTCGAGCACCACCAAGTGGATGATTCTAGGCCAGCAGATTCAACAGATAAGTGACTCACTGTTTTTGTGATTATATATGTAGAGGTTTAATTCTCACTGTGTGTGTTGTGTGTGACAGGGTTATCCATGGCCGTGCGTCATGAGTCTCTCTACTCGGGTCTGTCGGGCTTTAATGGAGCTCTGGGCTGCATGGCTGTTGGAGGACTCTTCTTCACCTTCAACTGGAGGACGCATCTCTATGCCATTGCCAGCGGTGACACATAAGCACACACACACACACACACACACACACACACATACATACACACACACACACACACACACACACACACACACACACACACACACCACACACACACACACACACACACACACACACACACACACACACACACACACACACACACACACACACACACAACACACACTGTTGCTATCTTTTGTCCAACGTGTCATTGTGTAGCATAGGCAACAGCTTTTTTTGAAAAACTGTTTTTTACAGGAAAACTAGTAGATATACATATATACACTAGATATATTTTCTAATAATAGCTACTTCAGATGCGTCAAACCTTGCTTGTGGTTTCAGGAATATTTAAACAATATGTATGACTTTATCTTTTTGCTTTAATTGTCTTGTCATAACAGTATTCTGCCACAGGGGGGCGACAGACACCAACATGATGATTTAATCTGATTAGTCTCTGTCCATGGTGCTGAGAAAACACAAATGCAATACACTGCATATTAAATACACTGCATATTAAATACACAACAATAGGACAGGATTGCTCAAAGTAACACTATTTTTTTAATCTAATTCATTTAAATGTTTTCAACAAGTAATTTTGACGAATTTATAAATTAAGAGACCACTGCAGCATTATCAGTTCCTCTGGTTTTTACTATTTATAGGTACGGGTTTGAGTAAAATAAAAATAAAATACATTTTGTTCTATAAACTAATGACAACATTTTTCGGTGTGGGAATTCAACAAACACTGCAAGGAAATAGCTACCAAAGAGGGGTCTCTTAATTTTTTTCAGAGCTGTATGTATATTTCACATCTTTCGAGAATTAATAATGGTACTTAATGTAAACATTCATCTTCAGTCATCACTTATGGCATTGTGACTCCTCTCAGTAAATCATGACCTCAATGCTCTGCTGCTTATCAATAAGATGCTGAGTCATGCCTTCTAAAGAAAGTAAAGGGTTCTAGCCATTAATAACTACAGAAAGTCAAAGCATGTTCTTAAACTAAAAATGATCACATGATTTCCAGCCTGCCCATTGTACCATAAAGGGACTTTGTTTCCATACATATTTCCTCTTCACTGTCATGCTATGCCTTAAAGTCCTTTGGTAATTGTGTCTGTCTCAAATGGTTGGAACTGGTTAATCATTGTGTCACTACAAAGCCTGATTTAATTGGGCTATTTAGACCGGGCTTTCCTGTATCCCTCTGAATTCATGAATACAGACAAACACATTTACAGCTCATCTGAAATTGCAGCTGTAGCACCGTGGACATTAGTGCTGATCGTTTTGGCAGGGAGGTGATCTGCTCACATTAGGTAAATTGCTCTTAATTGGAGCTTTCAGTCTGAATCGTCAGGGCCAACCTCTGTACCTGCTGCAGCAGACGTCAGCGAGCCAAAGAGTGAGACTGTGCAGATATATTTAGCCTAATTTCTTCTCCTCTGCACGCAGCTTTCCTCTCTGCATATGCTGACATCGCTCTGAGTAATCTTTTGGGAACGGTGAGTACACTCAGTTCCAGCCACGTGTGCATAAAGCACTGACACTGAGAGGCCTTCGATATTTCATTCTTTTTTTTTAAAGCCTAGGAGAACTTATTTGTAGCCTCACATTGAGCTATAGCATGGTTGCAGAACAATATCAGGCTTTCAATTGGTGGGAACATATACAAAAGGAGGATGAAAACAGCATTAAGTGCTTTTTCTTTCTTGGCTAAAAGGCAATTTGTAATATAATGTATTGCTGCATTACTTAAAGGTGGGGTAGGTAACTAATTAGAAGATACACAACCGGAAAAAATCTGCCACTTCCTTACAGAGCCCCTCCTCCAACACACACGAACGCGCACATGACCAATGAGGGCACGAGATAAGTTTGTGTACAGATGGAAGGCTGACAGGCAGGTAGGCCATCCAGTTATTTTAGCCGGGCCGGCTAAAATGATTGGTCGTGCTTTTTACCGTATTACGGCTTCCACAGATGACATTTTGTTATGGATTTGTTGTCAAAGCACTTAAGACATTAATTGCTATCGGGATGTTAAGAGCATTCCATGGAATATAACAAAAAGTGTATCTTGAGCCTGTTTCTCAAACTTACCTACCCCACCTTTAAGGGTTAGAACAGAATATCTGCATGTCAAGAAAAGTAGAGTTTCTAACCCAATGCTTCAACACTCAAATGATTAATTAAGATGAATAAATCAAACAGTGGTTTTACATAATATAATGGTAATTGAAGTACACCAAATAATTTATAGCAGTGTAATTTTAAAACCATGTACCTGAATGTATTTGTTCTGCGTTTCCCTCTTTGATATTAAAATATGAAATTCCTTGATTATAGTTTTAGAATTTTCAAGTGAAAAGGTGGAAGTCTGACTCAAGTCCGAATCTCTTGCTATAACTCTTAAATGAGCATGTTCTCAGTCTCTTATATTAATTACAAATACTTTCCCTCTCTCATCCCCTAGGTTGGTCTCCCAGCATGCAGTTGGGCAGCTACTATGATAGCCACACTGATGTTGCTGCTCACCGGCAGTTTATCAACGTACCGCATCCCCATGGGTCAGGTGATGTCCCCTGAACACAACCTGCGCTCCCGCAAACAATGGAAAGCTGGGAAAACCACAGAAGGGGAGAGCACTGATGTGTAACGTATTGTATCAGTACTAAGTACACGATGGATGGATTTTTGGACGGGTTGGACCAAAAAATATGCATTTTTATTATAAATGTTACAAATATATATATTTATACAGATATATGTTCTTAGAAAACATTGCCATTCATCATAGTAACTTCACATTTTGTCCACAAAGTGGCAGTGTTTGTTCAGCAACTAGATTCTGAAAATGTTAGATAAACCTCTGTATTGAAGTTAAACTATTTTTATAAAATATATATATAACAATTCTTTCCAAGTTTTGCTACTTTTGTTATTCCATTATGCCAGTTTTAACTCACCACATTGCATACAAAGCCAAAGAAACAGCCAATTTGAAGGGAAATACATCTTTTAATAGGCATGAAATTAACAAGTCGGTTCAATAAAATCAATGCGTTAATAAAAACATAGACTGAATTCAACAGTAATTGTTTTTTCACCCCTTCATTACGCTGCATAGACATACATAGAACTCCACTGGGACTCAATGTAGAAATAGACGTAAACATGTATCTGAATGCAGGCAGACGGTGAGACAAGTACACGTGATGTTGTTATGAAACAGAAAGAGTGGTGAGCTGTTTAGGCCAAGAAGAAGCCAATATTATTATCATTATAGTTATTATTTGTAATGTTATTAATGCATTGAAATCTTCTTAAATGAAAAAGTGAAGGTGTTAATTGTGAGACTTTTCACAGTACTTCATTTTGCCTGTGTAGATGATTATTTCCCCAAAACATCTACATTCCCAAACACACACAAGTCCCCATCAACACACAAAGCATCCACACCAGCCTAATGTAAACAACAAAGATTCACAAGTGAAGTGACATACTTCCACAATAACGTTTTCGAAGAATGTTCTTTGAATCATGCATTTCTGTCTCAGTGCTTTTCAGGATTTCTTTATCTACATCATTATTGGGTCTTCATTATTTGATCATGATCTACCTCACAGACAATGGTGATGTAATGAGACGAAACATACAAAAGTGCCTCTCAGTCTGTGATTGATCAAGCATGATATTAATTTAAAAAAAAAAAAGTAGAAATATAAATACGTGCACAAATAGTACTTGTGTCCTTGAAGCTGCTTTACAAAAAATGAACATTCGTAGTTGTATGTACTTTCAGTTGAAGGTTTGATTGTGAGTGCTTTTGTGCTTCTTTAATATGACACTGTGTGTTTGTGTGTGTATGCTTGTGTTCATTATGGGTCAGAATAAAGGCAGTCTATCACAAACACACACTCACCATGCACAAAGTACACAATTATGCACCAGACACACTCACTGGTGATGCATTCTGAAGTTAGGGAAGTATATGATATATACAATTAACTTCAGGGTTTATGTGTGTGTGTGTGTGTGTTTTATTCACAATCTGAACTTTTGTTGTTGTTTTTCTGATGAATGTGAGCTTGCATGCATTTGCTTTTTGGCTGTAAAAGCTCAATAAAAATCTTCATTAATGGCGCCATGTTAAAGCCTGTTATTGTTGATGTCAGTATACATGTAATCTTACGTTACAGCCACACAATGTTGAGTTTTTTCATGCATGTAAACATTCATCTATACTAGTCGAGTGTAAACAGTGACGCTGTGCCTGGGTCAGTCTGTTAGCAGACTCTATTTAACCAACAGGACAGCAGCTAGGAAACAACATCCTGACTTTAAAAGAAAAACGCCATCTCTTATGAACAAAGGGAGCGGAGCACCAGATCCACTGTGGCAGCTTAACTTTGGTTTTACAAGAGGGGATAAGTCAAAATTATCTAGAAGAAGCAGTTAAAATGTTAATAAATACCATTACCTTTCTTGCTGGGAGTTACAAACAGTTACTGGTGTGACCAACTACTGGTGTGCATAGGCTTTTAGACCTTATGTGGAAAAAACACCAATGCAACAAAGAAGACGACCTCCTTATGGCAGCTGACTCCGGACTATTAACAATCCTCATCCTCCTTGATCTTAGTGCAGCTTTTGACACCATTTCCCACAGCATCCTCATTGACAGACTGACCTCCATCGGAATCACTGACACACCCCTCCTCTGGTTTAAATCATATCTCTCTGGCCGCACTCAGTTCATCCAACTCAAAACCTTCAAATCACAGCCACTTCCAGTCACGACCGGTGTTCCCCAGGGCTCTGTCCTGGGGCCTCTTCTTTTTATCATCTATTTACTTCCTCTTGGCCATATCTTCCGTAAACACAACATCCACTTTCATTGCTACGCGGATGACACCCAGCTCTACTTGTCCTCCAAACCAACCACCATCCTCCCTCCATCCTCCCTGTCTGACTGCTTACAGGACATCAAATCCTGGTTTTCCTCTAACTTTCTCAAACTTGACGACAATAAAACCGAGGTTCTCCTCATTGGCACAAAATCCACCCTAACCAAACCCGACAGTTTCTCAATTACAATAGACAACTCTTCAGTCTCCCCCTCCCCTCAGGTTAAGAGTCTGGGTGTCATCCTCGACAGCACACTTTCATTCAAATCTCATATCAGTCATATCACTCGGTCTGCCTATTTCCATCTACACAACATCAACCGCCTCCGCTCGTCCCTTAACCCTAAGAGCACCGCCATTCTTGTTCACACCCTGGTCACTTCCCGCATTGACTACTGCAACTCCCTTCTCTTTGGTCTCACTCTCAAATCCATCCACAGACTTCAACTGGTCCAGAACTCTGCCGCCCGCATCATCACCAGAACCCCCTCCATTAACCACATCACGTCTCAAAACACATCTCTTCACACTCGCATATCCACCCTGATCATTATCCATCACACATCCTCTGTTTTTATTTATTTGATTATTCGATTGATTTATATACTGCATTGTCTTGTTTATGTCTCTTATGCTGGTGTTATGTATTGTGCATCTTGTTTTTTATGTGTCTGTACGGCGACCTTGAGAGCCTATATAAAATAAATGCATTAATATTATTATTATTATTATTATTAAGATGTGTTCAATTGTATTGCTCAGTGCGTTAAAAATAGACATTTATAGCTTTTTTCAAGTTTTCCAACAAATGTTCCTAGTCGATAGGTGATTGTTTAAATCATTCAGACATCCCATGCCCTACAATTTAATGAGTGGTTTCTTAGCCAATGGTACACGCTTCCATTCAATTTCAAGAACATGGGGCCAGTAGTTTTACCAACAAACAAACCTAAGAAACAGACCCATCACTGAGCCAATATCCTGGAGGAGCTAATGATGTGTGCCACAGAGGGGCAGGCTGTAGCTGCTGTGATCTGCTGCTCTGCTCCCAGAGTTCTCACACTATCCTGTCGTTGACTTCCTTCAAACTTGACTAAGTCTTGTAATCCGTAGCCAGGACGTGGAAGATTAGCAATGCTCTGCTGAAGTTTTAAACTCAAAGCTTATTTTATAGTTTGTAAATCCTTCAAAAATCTCCATTCATCCCCATTACCGCTCTCACACAGACTCCAAGATTGTCCCTTTTTTTCCTTCTCTTGACATTGAAATACACACCCTTCCTTCTCTATGCTGTACTGAATGTACTGTGTTGTAACATTGTATTACATTGTGTGTGTGTGTGTGTGTGTGTGTGTGTGTGTGTGTGTGTGTGTGTGTGTGTGTGTGTGTGTGTGTGTGTGTGTGTGTGTGTGTGTGTGTGTGTGTGTGTGTGTGTGTGTGTGTGTGTGTGTGTTCAGAGCAGCCTCCCCAGCACCACCCCCTCTCTGCTCCTGGCCTCTCCTCTGAGGATCTCCAGGAAGCCCAGTTTGGTCAAGAACTCCAGCCTCTGACGGTCCGTCGGCTGCACCTCGCAGAACACACCCTGAGAACCTACACACACACAGAAGGAAGAAGCAGGCAGATACGTGAAGGTATTTATCTACATCTGCACACAAAGACAAGCCTTAACATAACATAACTCAAGTGATACATATAAAACATTGTACCAGTAAAGACTGAGGATTCTTATAAGCTAGCCGCCTGTCTACTGACCAAAGCATCTACCGTTAGAATCTCAAAGAAAAAGAAACCCCAATGTTAGCGATATGATAGAGGAAGGATTATAGGTATTATACGGGGACTTTTATTGTGAAAGGGAAAGGGTGACCTGAAGGGGGAGAGAATTGCATTATAGACAGCCAATCTAAACACTCAGATGTCATTATTCGAATCAACATAGAACGTAGACTTTTGAAGTATCAAGTGTAAAAGTCTTAGGTAAAGCAAAACTGTTCATTTCTATGATTAAAGCAAACACACACACATAGAATGACTGACCCCCTGTCCTGTCTTACCGTTGGCCTTGAGAGCAGTTAGCATGGCGGTGAGCAGAGTCCGGCTGACGCTGACGTCCACCAGCTCCGGCAGGGCGTCCAGGCGCAGCTGAGAGGGGAAGTGAAAGAGGAGGGACTCGGGGTACTCCCCCTGGTCCTCCTCCATCAGCTGGATCAAGTCCTACACAGAGGAGAACAGGAACACAGTTCTCACAATGTGATGCTGATGGCAGTTAACATTGCCTGATTCAACGTGAATCTTTGGCCTTTTTTACTTGTTGGTGCTTGTTTGATGAAGGAGGGTAGTGGCAAGAGTACTTCTATGTGTTATAGTTTCCAACAGCTGCCACTAGATGGTACTAATGTGCAATATTCAATACGATTGCACCTTTTAAAAAGTCATTAGATGGAAATTATCCCTCAACAACAAAATGATTTATCAGACGACAGTATATATATCTAAATAAATAAAAGCAGTATACTCGCACATAAGTGGATATTGGAATCCTGTTGTTTGCAATCTATTTATTTGTTTATCTGAAAAGTATAAAAGACAGGCCATGCTGATGACCTTCAGACACCTGTGGCTGCAGTATGAATCATATTCATCCACAGTGTGTGCCGTGACGCACGAAGTGGGTAGATAAGTCTTCCACAGATGTCGGGCTGAGTCACCAGTCACTGTTTGGCTCTTTGCCTAAATTACTCAACTGTTTTTCACAGTAAACAACAGCAATGCTGTAATCCAATCTCCTTCCATTTTTGGCAAAGAAACTACTAAAGTGCAATTGTGCAATCTGCAAATAGTCCAAAAGTTGGTGTATATTTAAAAAAAAAGAAGATGGATGTAACAACTTGCATGTTTTTATTTAAACAAACATGCTGCTTAGTCCATATTTGACTAAGTGTCTTAAATTAATGACTTAGTATCTCAAAAATAGGAATAAGTTGAGTCCTGTTTGTGTGTGTATGTACTGTATATATGTATTTTGTTTAGTTTACCTGTGTGTGCCATCCTCTTCTCAGTGGGATGTTTTCTTACTGAGTGATCATCCACATGGTCTAACTGCAGGTATGTCTAAACATTTGTGTGCATAATGTGTCCTGTGTGTGTCTGTAACACTCCTGTGCCATTCAGACTGACAGAAAATGGTTGAAAAAAAGGGTGTTTAAGGAATCTCCTCTTCCAAATATTCACCTGTGGGTTGGGGTGTGTGTTGCCCCCTTTAGTTGGGTATTTGTCCCTCATGGCCGGCATCCAGCTGGCCTGGCACCGCTTGGCAAACATGCGGACATCCAAGATACCCAACACACAGCCACACACACCCAGCTCATCCTCCAGGATGAAGCAGTACTCCGGGGACAACACCAGGCACGGCCCGAGACATCTGTAGAAAGGAAGAGACAGAAACATATGTGAGTATCAAATATGGTAAATCTTAATTGTGCAAAGCAATACAGACTCTTTCTTTCTCTTAACCACACACCTGTCTCCTATCACATCTGGGTGAAGAGCACTGGACTCTTGGACACCCTGAGTCCTCAGGTGGAGTTGGCGCACCATCCGATACAACTCCAACTACACACACACACAACAACAAAAAAATCACTTAAGAGATGGATGTGGTTCTTGTCCCAGACATATGTGTTGACAATGACCCAAACATCTACAGGTGGTTGAATAATTAGTCTCCTTTCATTTGCAATGATTCTCCATAAAAGGATCCTACTTTGGATCTGATAGAAATTCCATAAATCTTCCATGACTTTCCATGACTTAGTCAGAGTGTATGAATGAGGTCAAATCTTTTTCCCCCCTGCTTTATTTTTCATTCTTTTTTCAGCTTGAACAAAATATTCCATGACTTTTTACACCTTTTGTTATGAGTGATCCTGGCATTATGTGTGAAACTTCTCCTACCTTGTCCTTGCCGTGATAGGGCCTGATGTTATAGAGACGAGAGGTGGGGAAAAGAGGAGGAGGATGAGTGAAGAGTTCATTGCTGCTGCCTATTGGGAGAAGCATCTACACGCACACAAACAAAACCGCAGATGTTAGGCAGTTATAAGATACTTAATATTGTTTATGATTTAAAACATGAACATGCCTCATGCACAATATAAAAACAAGAGGGTTAATTCAAAAAACATATGGAAAATGAAATATAATACAAGCACACCCTACCTGCACCTCCCCAGACACGCCCCCTTTAAACGCCCATGGTTCTGATTCAACTCCCAGTAGGTCCGCCCCTGGGGTCTTCCCACACACTACCACAGACACAAAATAATAGTCAGGTGACATCACGTGCCAATGAAATACTTATACGGAAAACATGGCACACTTAACTCGGCTTTAAATATTCATGCCAGCATAAAAATGTAATTATTTTACAACACTGCATGTCCTCAAGAGATGCTGGAATAAACGTTTTTTTCCCGTTTTTATTCTCATGCCATTAATATTTGAAGCATAACTGTTTGCTTAGTCATCACTGCACCATTATTTGCTATGGCTGAAAAATAATAATTAAATACGGGGTTGAAAATAATGATTTATGCATCAAATGCTACCTTTACCTATTTCTTAAGATGGGTGGACATATATGGCTTAATGGTCATCTACTCTACTCACAGTGAAAGCAGTTCTTCCAGGTGCCCAAGGCGGAGCTGTCACTCAACACTCGCCCATCTGAGGGAGAGAGGTGAGTTGGAGGGGTTAGATTATACAGTGGTATAGTATGGCATATTAATTATGAACCTAAACCTAAATACTACAATATAAAACACAATCTAATAAATAGAAATGCACAATTTAAAGAATTAAATAGTTTGATTATCGCACTGGTTATTGTACAGTTAAGTCAGTCTTAATGCTTAATGCTACTAACAGGGTTGAAATAGGTCGAGGGCCAACATTAAGCATATGGCATTTAAGATCAAAGCAAAGCTAGTACAATGTTGCACAGTATATAGAAGTAAATAATGTAAAACACATGTTATTATGTATGCCCATAGTTTCCTGCCTCTTTTGATACTCACCCAGCCAGCATATGAAGGCTTTAGCCACCAGAGCTGTGTTCCTCAGGTCCCACACGTAGGGGTAAAGGTCATAGAGCACCGCCCTGTTGGCCCCCCCCACCACGCTGCAGTGAAGCTGTGCTATGTCCTCACACAGGGACAAGACCCTAGAGGACCGACCACGCCACTCGTCGATCTGAAGACAAAAAGACCTTTAATAATCATGCACAATTGAACATTTCAACAGGACATTTGCACAGAACACACACTGACCTTCTGAGGCGCTGTCTTCTTGCTGTTGGCACTGACCAGGTGGCAGTTTGCTTTCAGCCAGCTCAGGTCCTGCAGCAGTTTCTGTCCCGACAGGCCGTACTCGTGGGGCAGGTAATAAAGACCCACCAGCAGCCGCACCTGGGACTCACTCAGGAGGCCCTTCCCACCACCAAGCCCCCACCCCTGGGCCTTTTGCCCCCTGCCTCCCCCTGAGGGTGCTCCAGGCCTGGGTCCTTGGGGCTGGTTTGATCTCTTCTTCTCCCCCTCTGTCTCCACCTTGACCTTAGTGGGTGAGGACGGAGGCGAGCTGGAGTTCAGAGGGAAAACAGGAAGCCTGTCCACGAGGGTGGGGGGGCAGTCGGATCGGTCTGGAGTTTTACAGCGAGGTGTTTGAGCAGAGGAACGCTGGTCTGCTCGGCTGCTCTGCCGACCTGAAATCAATCAGAAAAAAGGAGCGTTTGTGGTTAGAATAATGCAGTTCATTTATTGGTTCAAATCCAATCAAATGTCAACACACACACATACATACTGTATACAGGTACATTCCCATATGATGGTTATCTACCTGCTTGTAGTGGTTGGTTGAGTTCCTCCATCCAATCATGTAGTGCAGCAGACAGCGCCCTATCAGGACAGTATTCACACTCTTCATCTAAAACATAAATAACACTGTGTTATTATATATATGAGGATACTTAGTTAGTTATATAAAAACCTCTTACATTCCTTTGCACAGTCTGTGATGTTCAATTCATTTCTGTTGGACATGTTTTGTTTGACAAAGCTCCCCATAAATAGCTCTCCTTTATCTGTTCTTGACTATAGAAGAAGATGCACTTCCTCAGAGAACAGCGTATCTTGTGTTTGCTCGTCTGTTGAAGCTACTGTCAGAAATATATTTTAACTTGAGATTCTTCCAACACTAAAAGATGATTTTCACATTTGTTTGCCAACATGTTCCTGCTGGAAATACTGTAATGTTACGTCATGTCTCAATTTGGTCACTGATCTGTTGGAAATAAGACATAAAACACAACAATTACGTGTCCAATTTAAACTCTGATCCTAACTCTGAATCTGGATCCATCAGGCTTCAGCCGGCCCTTCATCTCTCGTTTCATCTCCTCCCTTGGAACCCATTTCTCCTGCAGCCCCCCCCGCCTGGTTTCTCCTCCACAAAGGGACCGTTCTCTCTTCTTATTTTCTCCTTCGTCACACCACACAATTGTTCCTCCACCACCACCTTTCTTCGCTTGTCTTCAGAACAAGGACACGCTTCAGTCGTTTTCTCTCCTACATGTTTTCTTTCCAACTCACTTTCTCTTTCTTTCTTTGGTGGGATTATTGTGTATGTTACTGTCACAGTAAAGTGAAAGCCATATATCAGAAACAAATGTCAGTTTTACAGTATACGCTAAGGAATATATCTTTTTGGGGTAAAATACAAATGCATCTTAGAGCTATCTATTCACTTTTTCTGTAAATAGATCCACTTGCTGGAAGTGGATGGATAAAAAGCTTATTGAGTCATTGTAACTTTATTAGGCAACAGATGGAGCTTTCATTCCTATAAGTTAATTTATTTGTTACGTAACATCAGGCTAAATTGTTTTAGTTGCCAAGCAATGGGACTAACTGCACATGGCTCAGGTCTGGCAGAGACAATATTAGTTTATTAACTTGAGACATCTCCTGTCTCATCGCTGCCCCTTCCTCCTTCTCATTAATCCTTTTCTGCCCCCATCCTTCCCTCCACATATCCCCTCACCTTTCCTCTCCTCCTTTCCAGATCTGTACCAGCTGCCCAGCGAGTGGAGAGGGATGTAGTTGGCTTCAAACTCGCAGTTGGGGTTGAGAAGCAGGCCTCTCAGGTTGCTCCTCAGCTGAGGCTCTCTGCCCTTAAAAGGCCCCAGGAAGAGACGTCTGGAGTCGTAGTCGTTCGCGTGCAGGTTGTCCCAGATGAGGGGGGGGCGCTGGAGGACAGACTCCACCTCAGACAGGCAGTCTACAGACAGCTTCCTGGAGATGACCTTAGTGCCTGGGGGGGCGAGAGTGAGAGGAAAATGTTTACAAGTGGAAGACAATCTTATTTTTGATTTGATTTGATTTATTTAGAATGTGTAAAACAATAATACAAAAAAATAATATACATTAACAATTATAAATAGATTATATAATTATTACTGTCATATGTCATATTTGATAAGACAAATATAAAAGACTATCTTCTTACATCCACCATCCAAAATACATTTGTTATTAAAAAATAAAAATAAAAAAAACATAAAAACAACAAATAAATAAATAAACAAATACATAAAAGAGGCAATAAAAGAGAAAATAACAAACCCAATAAATAAATAAACCGCAAACACCGTTATTATAGATGTATGTTTTGTCTCACCCGTCCATATCACTGTTATGTCCGGCAGCAGGTCCTCTCCCACAGTCTGCAGGTAGGGAGACTTTGATACACTGGGAGAACACAGAGAACCGCAGTACTCTGCAGGGACAGAGGAACAGAGGTAGGATCAGATTTGAGAGGTTTCTGTACATACTTTAAACTTGAGCTCACGTGCATCGCTCCTACCTGTGGGGCAGAATAGGAAGACGGGCGGTTCCCCCAGGAAGCGATAGATCTCATTGGTTATAGTGACCTGAGCATGAGCAAAGGAAGAGAAGGCCTCGCTGTCAGCCTGACACAAGGAATGGTCGATGTCATCAAACAGGATGGCAAAAGCCTGGCAACCCAGGTCTGATACCTTCAGAGAGAGGGGGAAAGAAACAGGGGCAAATCATATCAAAGTTGCATTTCGTAGAGTAGTATGTATTCTCTGGATTTGTCACATTACATACCTGTCTCAGCTTGCGTTTGAGCAGTGTCAGGTCACAGGACGAAGAGAAGACGATGTCCTGACCAGGGGAGAGGGCGTAAACAAACTTTACGCCTCTCGACTGGGCCTCCTTTATGAGAATACGCAACTGACCTGAGAGCAGGAGAGGGACAGAGGAGAGAAATCTTGAATTGGACATTTGAGACGAATCAAGACGCAGTGACCAGAGTTTAAACTTTGCTTTAACTTTGACAACAGGATCTGAGAATAGTAACTAGACCCTCACGCCAAATGTAATGTTTATTATCTGTAAGAGAATTCAGCTTACTCTAAAGTACTACGTTCCAGACTAAAGCCTCACAGTCTTCCAGAGTACAATAAGAAAATGATATAATCGGCAACATTAAAGCTGTTAATACCTTTAGGACTTTAATGAAAAATATATCCATCGTGATTTAATACCCTGTTTGCAGAGATAATGTCCTAAGGCAGTTCTGGTGCAGATCCAGGGCTCCAAATATTTGTATCTGTGTGCATGCATTGGTGCATAACTTTTAAAATAACGTGCAACAAAGAAAATGTGGTGAGAATAAGTGAATGTATCTTTCTCTGCAATTCAGTCAGGTCCAGATCCGAAATCCAACATGGACTGCTGCAAAATGTCATTTTCCAGACGATAGCAGAATGAATGGGATGCTCTTACCCTCCTCCTCATGAGAGTAGACTTCCCTCCACAGTAGTCTGTGTTTGAGGTCATCCTTTGGGCCGTACAGGTAGGTGTTCAACCCCCAACTCTGCATCCTGGCACAGAAACACAAACAAAGGAAATGTGAGGGAGGAAACATGTTACTGAAGGGTGAGCTGGAGCCGTTTCATTGATACATCTGTACTATTGATTGTTGCTTTTCACTTCGACCACTGAAAATATGTTTTTGGTTTCATTCACAGTCAGAAGTGCAACATCCTGTCTATGAAATGTTCTCAAGAATTGTGTAGTCATTCTGAAAATGACTTTTAAAATGCTAAAAAAGATTTAACCACTTTGGAATTGTCATATATATTTGTATCCATCATTTCCTCAGTTTGAAGCCTCTGCTCTGTCATGTACTGTATGATCTCTGGACAGAAGAAAATAGATCTGCTGTATTGATCGTTGGGCTGCCTTTGTTACAGGAAATGATCTCCTGAATTATAGATAGAGCATAGTACTGGGATCGAAACAAAAGCAGCATCTCACACACAACAACATGAATATGTCTCTCTTTTCTCTGGACCAGCTCCCATCATCCCTGTCATTTGTGGGTGGAATATGTTCTCACTCTCTCCCCGCTTGAATTTCCTGGACAGATGGTCTGTAAGTCGCCTCCACAAAGCTGCAACCTACCTCCTTCAAACACACAATCAGACACACACATGCATACACACACTTCCATACTGTACACCCAGGCCCAGCTTTAATCTGCCAAACTTATGCAACACTCTCTGTTTGAATTGTGCCTGCACCCCGCACTTAAATCTAAAAAGAGCCGATCTATAAATAAACTTGGAGCCCACACGGAAAGAAATAAATTCATCCTGATGACAAAAGCCAATATAATGTTATATTTTTGTTACAGTATTATTCAGTTTATCATAACAACAATAACAAGAGTGTGCTATAATGATTTGGTTTGCAGAGGGAACATCTTATCTCTGGGGAGGTAGTCACTATTGGCTGTTGAACTACAAAATGGCGTCACAGTTCCCAGCAGGGATTTATGTTGTTAAACTTGTTTTTCAGATCAGTGTGGCATCAACAATTCATTGGTTCCCTACTTAACAAGTATGCACGAGGGTACTTTATGTAAATGCACATGAAATGGGAATACCACGACTCTTGTTGGAATGCAATTAGCATTTTCATAAACAATTGATCTAAAAGTATTTCCTACAGTAGGTTTTTGTAATAAATGTTCTGTCTATACAATGTTGAGACTTGTCCATCCCAGTAATAATAATAATAATGGGTTCCATTTATAAAGCACTTCATATTTGAATTCAAATCCCGAAGTGCTACAGGCAGTGAGCAGGAACAGTATAAATAGACATGACACAACACGGTAGAATTAATAGAAAGCAATAAAAAATAAATAAATAAAAATAAAGATAAAAGGATGGTAAAAGGGGTCTAGGCAAAGGCTCTTTTGAAAAGATGGGTTTTGAGGCCTTTTTTAAAAGCCTCCACGCTCCAGTGTATTTGTTTGAATAGTTTAAAATATCAGTACATTAAATAAATACGGCATTTAAACTGAATTTTTTGACAATTTTGCAAGAAAACTCTTTAACAATGAATCAATTATCAAAATACTTGGCGATACATTTTCTGTCTTTATTGACAAATCGATTAGTTAACCAATTGTTGCAGCTACACATCCTTTGAATGGTGTACCGATGCCTTGAATAGCAATTTGATTGTTTTGAATGTAGTATTCTACAGCAGCTCACTGTTGAATCACTGCAAGCTGATTAATGCTGAAAGAGTGTGTGAGTCTTTGTGACTTGATGAAACTGTGGCAGTCTCAATAAGGAGCTGCCTGTGTTTGGTTCAGTCACGATTCAAAGCGACAAATGTTGCGTGGATGCTGTTTGTATCTGTTTTAAATTGCTTTTGTTTGCAATGTCTATGTTGTTCTGCTGCCTGCAGAGGAGAGCCTATTGTGGCACTTCCCTGGTATCACTCCACACAAACAGAATGCTCCCTGCGGCTCCCTGGTGTGAAGGTCTCAGCACGGAACAATATGTGGTTGCTAAATATAGACCCAAAGTCACCGCAAATATTCCCTGTGTAAAGACTAAAAGGACATAAACATTCTATATTAGCATTATATCTTTCCAATTGATGGCAATATGCTGAAAAACTATTTTCTAACCATTCATTCATCCTTCTTTACAGGGCAGCAGAGTTTCCTTACCAGTCAATCGGTAGGTTTGATCGTTAGACCCATGCTCATCAAAACTTTAACACTATTTAACTCTAACATTATGGATGAATTTGTCAAATTTGCTGTACTATATAGAATTTTGCCCGATAAATGATATAAACCTTCAGACATGAGGCAGTGTTAAACGATCACCAACGAGATTCATCTTGAGGGGAACATGAATGTGTGAGAAATAATGTATCACAAATGCTAACATGTTGTCGTCACTAGAGGAAAGGCCAGGGGAACATAAATGTCTTTAGGACTCATCATCAGGGAGTGTCTATTATGTAAGTCCATTCAGTAGTTGAGATATTTCAGTTTGAATCAAAGTGGTGGATGGACTGACTGCCGTCCCTGCAGCCACACTGCTAACTCAGCTGAATAATATCTATATAACCAAATGATGTGCATCCCCTCTTTGATCCTCTTCCAACAAAACAAACCCCCTCCCTCTCCCCCTCCTGTCGTCCATGGCTGAGCCTCCGGCCTGACGATGAGTCTGCCCTTTGCTACAGAGTCATTCTGCGTCAGTGGTTTCTCTCAGGTGTGCCTGGCATGATGTAGAGGCGTGCAACTGGATTTAGCCCACAGGCGTCAGGTCAGTAGCACCTGAGCTCACACTGTTCATGTGAAGATCAAACGACTCCCCTCTGACGTGGTGAACTGTAATTCTGAGTAATACAGAACATGCAGGTTCATTACAGTTTGCATGCTGCTTTAATGAGACTCACCATTGGAAGAGAACCTTCCTCTGATCCATAGTCCAAGGCCTCCCATAGAAACCTAGAGGAAAAATAGAGGTCATGAATGTCAATATATATTTGCTGCAAGAATTAAAAAGCAAGCTCAGCTAGAAATCGAAAACACATGTCTTTCCTCTTACCAATCCATGTAGACCGTTTTGGTGTGAATGTAAGAGATATGGGGATGGAGCTAGATTCTACTTTGCTTATGAGAACAACAAAAAGACATTTGAAAACTCAAAAGCAATCTCTCATGACCGGGTTACTCAAGATCTTGTTGTGAGCAGTTTCATATTTTGAAGCAACTATTTTGCCACTTATTCACTGCACACTATTTATATTCAATGCACCATATCGGTTTGTTCTATGGCTCGATCATTGTTTTGTTCCAAGCTCTTTGCAATGAATCACACACTGTTATCAGCTGGTTGACACCGCTTCAGTACTGAATGTATGGGACATACAACCAAGTAAGTTGCTCCAGTGCTTTCTTTGGTCACATCCTCTCTGTGTTTGGCAGAGGCATAATTCATCTCCAGCTACACTCTCCATCACATTTTCTATTTTTAGAAATGGGAGCGTCTCCAGTGTCCCTCTCCCAGCTTTGTGTTTTTTATAAGACTGCATGTATTTAACTGTGCACAGAAAGTGGGTCATAGTAGGAAATAAATCCAATCCACCGACATGTCTCCTGTGTCCTGCAGACTGCTCCCCATTAATACAAAAAGCCAGCAGACCTGATAATTAACTCTGTTGGATGCCACCACGAGGGACTGAGAAACAAAGGTGTGCGGGACTACAGGAATAAGTAATAAGGTGTGTGTGTGTGTGTTTCCTTGAGCGTGTCCTTGATCAATGCAATTTAAATTTCCAAATAAACAAATCCCAACAGGCTGTGTGAAACTGGATTAGCAGAGATTGGTAGAGTTAGCAATTTGAGTCTTTGGAGAGTGGTGTGAATAAAACATATAGTAATCAATAATTGTTTAAGTCATGTTAAACAAACACAAATGCCAACAATTGCTGGTTTCACCTTCTTGAACTTAGTATGGTATCATTACACAACTATAAATAGTAAGACATGTTAACCTTGAGTATACTTTAATAATTGTGCATTCTTATGACGACTCATAAATGACACAGAGAAATCATGAACAGATCAGGTATCAAGTGATCAAGTATCACAAATGTATCACCTTTCCAGGATTCTGGATCATTATCATTTAGATGTTTTAGCCAAAAAGCAATGTTCATGTTTTATTTTCAGGGTATATACTTGCAGCATATCATTAGATACATTTTTGCAGCATAAATTCATCATTTTGTGCAGTGGTTGTGAGGTGAGAAGGGACAGGTGTTACAACAAACATCTGTCTCTTTTGCAATAATCATTAATTTCTTACTTTCCAGATCAATTTGTATTAATGTTATTAACATCAACAAGGTCAGTGTTGTTGTTATTCCTTCCTTAACATTATTATGTCCATATCGTTGCATTTGTTTGATTGATGCTCCGAAATGGACCTCTTCTTCACTGTTTTCTTTCATTGTCTCATCACCACTGTAAGCTTGTGGCACACCATCTCCATCATCACAACTGATGTCATTTCATCCCAACAAGATCATCCCAGTCATTATTATAATCTCAATGATCATCTTCACCTTCACTAGTATTGCATCATTCATCTTCATTAATACCTGCCATTAATCCAGAGCGATTTCACTCCTCAGGCTGCAGCCCAGGAACCAGACATTACTGAATCCTTTTCCCTTCTCCTGCTCTTTGATCTCCACTTCGCGCCTGGCTGATCTCCACCACATCATCTCATAACGACCATTACATCCACATATTATTACAACTGCGCCCCCTTCTCCTTCAGTAAGGGACAAAACAATCCTAAAATGTACTGTAGGTCAAGCGGTGGTCTATTCAAATGCATGTCCCCAAGGTAATACAACATAATCACATGATCTGACAGGTCAGTGATGAAGTCGGCCGCTCCTACCTTCCACCACCCCACAAAGAAACTGCTTCTTCTCCTCCATGCTGTCCTCCGCCTCGCTGCCTCCCTCCGCTTCCAGTCGGCCCCTAAAGAGCGAGGGAGGACGAGATGCTCTCCCCCTCTGTGAGTTTAGATATCGGGGATATACTTCATGCTTCTCCTTGATATGCCTCCCTCTCTCCCCTCTCCTCTCTCCTCCTCTCGACAACGCTGGTGTTCGCGTGCTGCGTTCAGGCGCTCAGCGGAAGATCCTGCTTTCTAGTACATGACAAAAGCAACCTTTTGCAAACAAATCGTTTTTGGTGCATTTATGTAGGCTAGAATTATAATAGACTATCATACGTTATGCTGAGGTGGCAGATTGTTTAAATGTATTTATTGATTGTTGATTTATTGTTAAACATTACATTATTACATTTTTGTGAATATTACATTATTATATATATATATATATATATATTTATTTATTTATTTATTTTATATATAAGAAGTCCCCTTTTCTTATTAATGAATTACACCCGATTACACCTTTACTTTTCAATTGGCCAGCAGGGGGCATAATTAGCCTACTGAACACAAAGAAAAACAAGACAAAACCCGCAGCCTACATAAACACGTCCAGCACAGTATAACATTAGCCTCCTGTTGAACATGTTTTTCTCGCTACCTGACAAAATGTAAGTCTACTTTTCAACTTGCTCTTCACGAACTCTGAAAACACTTTCCTACTAAGCATACGTTAGCTAACGCTTGGTAGCTTAGGTGCTAAATGTCTATATCAGCTACAGAATGGTTAAAGTAGTGTGGCTACTGTCTAGGTTACGTAAACCATTAAACATTTAATTTCGTTAATTATTTTTCACAATACAACATTAGTAAAGTATATAGTTAAAGTTTACATATTTGTAACACATTTAAATATGGCATTCAAAATAAAAAGGGGAAAATAGGCTGTCAGCATACATTTGACAGATAAACCCCATACACTGTAGGCTATTCCCTAACAGCATTTCAAATAAGGTTACACGTTCAACATACATCCAATTAGTTTCAAACATACAGAAACTAAATATTTATGAAATACATTTTTCTAGCTCTGGTTGGGGTCTCTGACCAACGTTTTTTTCAACAAAATAACGCTACTTCTTGCTACAATTTCTTCACTGTTACAGCTGTTTTTCCACCAAAACTTCATAAAACATCTGACCTTCTTAATGTAGGATACCATTTCTAAGTTGTTTCTGTGTTTTCTTTCGTAATTCAGATTTTTCGAGTAGCCATGAAGGCAGCATTTGCTTCCAGTCTCCAGTCCGCACATGCGCACTGCCTTCCTGTAAGAGGACCCAGGTGTGTGTGTTCACCATTCATGCTGTGAAAGTGTGCTAGTTAATGTATAATCCCACTCCATGGCCATTTTTTAGAGCCTTGTTTTATATATTTGAATAATTTGTAGACTTTTAAGATGTGTGGGATTGATATTTCTTCTACTAACACACTGTCTTACTTTCTGTCCTTTGCATGATTATATGTTAAGTAACATTTTGTACACACTGCAGCACAATTACAATAGAACAGATATGTGTTTGTTTAGTTAATTTTTTAGGCATGTTCTACGTATACATAACACTCTAACATTTGTTACAGTCTTGAATAGTGTTATATTTGCTTTATACATTATATTTACAATTTTAAAGTCCACCAATCTCTCAATTTTAGAGCATGTGAGTTTATAAATATTGCGTTTGTTTCTTCCTGATAATCTTGTGAATTGAGAATTATTAGGCTGCTGTATAAATCTGATATGGAGCACCCACTGCTGGAATTAAAGAACATTACAGTAGAAGGTCCTGGTCGTCATGAGTCAGTTCCTCACCACAGAGAAGTGCTTCAGCAACCAAACAAACAGGGTGAGTACAACCAGAGGCAGCATCAAACAAATTCTGACATTTTTATAACTTCACCTCCTGCACTGCATGTAGCTGTCTCAGAAGCGGAGATTCATCCCAAAACAAACCAACTTTAGTAGGCATCTTCACTGCAATAGTAACTTTATCCCTGCTAAGACATTTGTTTTAACTTTTTGAAAGTTTTTGACATTACATTTGTGTGTTAGTGTGTGGGAATAGACATAGTATGTTTCAGTCATTTTGAAACAAAGAGCCTCAGAATGAGCTCCTTGTTGTTGCTCTGTTCAACAGAAATACACCACTATTATGTTATACAAAGCAGAGAGATTCTACACAATGCCAACCCAACAAGGCATTACTCCTCCTACCCTGGAACAACATGGTGGTTGAAAAGCTGTGGAGGGAGAGTTTCCCAGAGGGAGTGGTAACAGAAACTGGGAGGACTTTGGCTTCAGCGCAGTGCCAGTGTTTGCCTTCACTACCTCAGAGGTCACGTTTCACATTCAACAACGAGGTAAGTCCCAGACAAAATCACAGATGGGCATGCGTTAGTATTTTGATTAAACAAATACAATAGATTCAATGATGTTTTTGTCTTGTGCCAGGCAGGTTCAATGGAATATTAGAGGAACTAATGTGATGAATGCTTGGATTTTAATTCATGTTTTCAATCAATGTTTTAACCTTTTACAGTGATTTCCCGAGAGTGCGAGTGAGTCATGTGACCGTGCAGCTGGACTTTGGCTAGAGGCAACTTTTAATAGTTTAAAGTTAATGATAAGTGTAGCTAGCTGCAATAAAAGTACTTAAGGTCTGCAATAAACACAACTAAGAAAACAGGTCTGAGTCTGTGGCTTGTTTTGTAAATGTGTTTGTCAATGCTACCAATTTCCCCTGTAAGTTAGAAGGTCAATTATTAATTTATTACTTGTTAATGAGTTAACACCAATCTTCTTTTTTTCCTCTGAGGTCATGGCCACTCCCAGCGTCCTCCTGTCAGAGGTGCAGTTCCAGTGTTGGATCTGTCAGGATGTTTTCTCTGATCCCGTCTCCATCCCCTGCGGCCACAGCTTCTGCTTCACCTGCATCACATCGCACTGGGACCGCAGTCCTGCAGTCAGCTGTCCCAAATGTCAGGCAGTCTTTGAGCGCCGCCCAGAGATCTGCGAAAACTCCTTCGCCAAGGAGATGTCCGAGCAGATCCGAGCCAGAAGGCAGAATGGCGTGATGACACTGATAGATACATTCATATGTTGTGATGTGTGTGTGGGAAAGCAAACAAAGGCCATAAAGTCCTGCCTTGTGTGTCTGACCTCGTATTGTGAGAGTCACCTGGAGCCTCACCGGAGAGTTTCCACCTTGAAGACTCACAAGCTCATTGAACCCGTGGCAACGCTGGAGAACCGGATGTGTAAAAAGCACCAGAGGCTCCTGGAGCTGTTCTGCAGGAGCGACCAGAGGTGTGTGTGCGTCCTCTGCACCGAGACGGATCACCGCTGTCACGACACCGTCCCAGTGGAGCGGGAGAGTCAGGGGAAGAAGGTGAGGTCCTCATCATTGTGCTATCCCATCAAATACCTCAGCAGCCTTTGGACTTTGCTTCAGTTTTGGGTTCTTTTCCTCTTTGTTCAGGCTCAGATGAGAAGCATCGAAGCTGATGTTCAGCAGAAGATCCAGGAGAGAGTGCAGAAAGTGGAGGAGATCAAACAATCTGTGGAGCTCAGCAAAGTAAGTTCACATAAGAGCATAAAACTACCTTTTTGGATGTGTCCTGTAGGAAAGATGGGCCATTTTAGCAGCAATTAAAGCAGTTTAAGAATATATGAAAAAAGTAAGCAAACACAAAATATGTCCTTTTACTAGGACATTAATTACTACATGAAAACACAGAGCCCAAAGTGCTTCCAACAGCGAGATTAAACAAAACAGAGGAAAAATAATAAACATTGATTAACATCTGTCAAAGACTTATATTAAACATTATTCCAAATTAAAAGCCCAATAAAAAATGAATTTTACCATTCTGAGTTCCATAGGAGAACAAATGTTAAAGAGGGCTCTATACATTTTCCTCTTTTAATGACTTAATATCTTCAGGAAAACTTGAGGAGGGACATTCTGTTGAGCATGGAGGTTTACTCCACCCTGCTCCGTTCTCTGGAGCGTCGTCAGGCGGAGCTGCTGGAGACGCTCCAGAGGAAGCAGGCAGCGGCGGAGCAGAGGGCGGAGAGGCTCCTCACAGAGCTGCAGCTGGAGATCACACAGCTGGAGAGGAAGAGGAGCGAGGTGGAGCAGCTTTCTCACAGTGAGGACCACCTACACATCCTGCAGGTTAGGAGTTCCCCCGGGAGATATCCACAGTGAAAAAAGAGATGCTAGTTTGTAGAATGTTGTTCTTCTATCTTTTATTCCCATCTTCTCTCTTATTTGATTTCATTGTGACAGAGGTTTCCAGCTCTGAGTTCGCCTACATCTTCTAAAGCCTGCTCTGACATCGTTGTCCATTCACACACATGTTTGGGGACTGTGAGGAGAGCGGTGGCTGACATTGAACTGCAGCTTCAGTCCGCTCTGAAAAAGCTTTCCTTTCAAGGTATACTTTTTAAATAACAATTTGTTGTCAGCATCACAACATTATGCAAAAAAACAGCCACTTACATTTAATCTCATGATCACAGATTTGTTGTATAAACAATATTTATACGTTGTTTTGAACTTACAGAGCATGAGAAGATGCAGCAGTATGCAGGTACAGTTGGACCGTAAAACAATGTCTTCACTGTTCTCACTCCCTCTTTTGTCCTGTTTCTCAACCGTCAAACCATCATGTACATTCAAGCACTCCTTACATTCTGTATCAATGAGAATAATGTCAAAATCCCACAGAAAAGGACAGTCAATCATGAGGAATTTAAGATTTTCACTGGATTCATTATTTCTACAATTCCAATCACAAGTTCCCAGAGGTCAAGGTGACATCTCATGTTGCTTATTTTGTCCTACAGTTTCTGATTTGTTTTGGTAATCATTTGCCTGATACACAACTAAAGCTAGTTAATTTTCCCGCAATCGACTAATTTCTCATTGACTAATCTCTTCTGCTTTTAATTGGTTTTATTTCCATGAGACAACCAATACAACTCTAAATCATCTGTGAAAATGTGTCAAAAGGTCCTGTGCATCATGAAAATGCATGCCATATGATAAGGGGGATAGTGAAGTAAAAACTCCATATTAACAACCTCGGTCTGTCTCCTAGTTGATGTTCTTCTGGATCCCAGGACAGCCAACCCGTGGCTGCTTCTGTCAGAGGACGGGAGACAGATCTGGGATGGAGATGTTGAACAGAACCTGGAGGACACACCAGAGCGTTTCGACACGGCGCCATGTGTCCTCGCCACCAGGGTAAATAAAGATGTGTGTGTTGTGTAGGGCTTCATTCTCTCAGAAATGGACAGTCCTGGTGACCTGAGCCCCTGTTTCTATGCAGGGTTTCTCCGCAGGGAGGCACTACTGGGAGGTAGAAGTGGGGGACAAGACAGCGTGGGACTTGGGGGTGGCCCGACAGTCGGTCAGCAGGAAGGGGCTGGTCACCCTGAGCCCAGAGGACGGGTACTGGACCATCTGTCTGAGGAAGGGCAGTGAGTACCGGGCGTGTGCGGGACAGGCGGAGCTGCTGAGTCTCTCTCAGAGGCCGCAGGTGGTGGGGGTGTTTCTGGATCACGAGGAGGGGACCGTGGCCTTCTATGATGCAGAGGCCAAGTCACACATCTATTCCTTCACACAGTTCCAGTTCACAGAGGCCATGTTTCCCTTTTTGAACCCTGACATGTGTGACAGCGGCAGCAACAAATCTCCACTCATCATCCGCCCTGTCAGTGCAGTCAATGGAGCGGGGGAATTAGATGTCATGACAATATGATGTGAAAGTGTGTTCAGTGTTTATATGTTATGGTATTTTATTTAAACAGCCCTATTGGACTAAGCTTCCCCTCTGTAGGATAATTATGATGTTGTAATTTAGCTTTTATTGTAGCATAACGAGTAGTCCATCATTGCTTAAATAAGACCACATTTGGAACATATCTTCCAAACGTTTTTATCTTGATGTATGCCTAGAAACTAGTTGTCCCTAAGGGATAAACGAAGCAATTGTTTTTATTAAAATTGAGTTTATAAAATGTCTGTAATGTATTTAGATTTGAACACTTGACAGAGCACTTTTCCCAAAAAATATGATACATTTACAGGTGGGGATTTTAAATGTAGACGGATGGCATTGTACTGAAAAAAAGACATGGGCTTTGTATGTTAATTCAAACTAACATGATAAAGAGTTTTTTATTCGTATTTAATTTGTTTATTTCTACCTATTTAAACATTTAAAAATCTATTTGTGGTTTGTGAAATTGTGTAAATTGTACACCAATCTTGTTGGGGACACCATAAACTGCATATTTCTACCACTCCTTCCTTTTCTTTTCCCTTTGCTCGATTAAAAAGTAACACACACACAGATCTTAGATCTGCCTCACTACAATAATAACCTTCCTCAGTTAATTAGGGCTAACCACAAACTGACTTCAGAACACGTTTAAGAAAGACAGTTGCTAATCAGATTAGCACAGAGATGGGATTAGCCTGGAGGCAGATGGAGCGCTGAGGCACACTTCAGCCTTGAGTTGCGTGGAGGTATTATACACATTTAGAGTACTGTACACTCACAGGTATGTCACTGAACTAAATGCATGCACACACAGTGATTGTAAGTTCTTAGTCTAAACCTTGTGAATTCCTGAAAGAATGTAGGAAATCTGTATATCTGTAAAGAAAGAGCTAAACGGGGGTTGGGGAAGGAGGAAGGGATGACGATGGATTAAAACTCAAATCATTCAAGCACAGGGCGGAGACATGTAGAGAGCCTACACAAACACCAGAGTAAAGCAAGAACACTACACATTTCTTTACCAGATGTAAAACCTCTTTGATGACCAGCAGAAGAGGGTAAGTCCAATCTTTTGTTGTCATAGTTTTTAATGTTGATGTCTGTAGGAGGGAATACAAACTCCCTGTAAGATCTCAATGTGGAGCAATGTAGACCTTTAAACAGCAAATACATGAAGGAATCGCTTCGTTTGGCTTATAACTTAATTGAAAGTGATGCTATAACTGTTGGCGATGAAGTCCTCTCTGGGGAGACCTTCTCTTCCTACCTTTTTCCATTAACTGGGTTAAAACTATATCTCTGTTTGTGTGTATCGTAAAGCTCTTGCCTGGATCTTGTCTAGCCCCACTGAGGTAAACAAGGGGATAATGGTTTTAAAGATCTAAAGGCACTACCTTGAATTATACTTTAGGTTTCTCTGTTTTGCTGCAGTTCCTTACAACCCTATATATATATATATATGTTTTAATCAACCCCAGTTTGTTCATTCACCTGGATATTAATATAACAAGTTTGTTGTGACGTTTCAAAGACAGGAGCTTTCTTTGTGTCTGAGTGGACAGTGATGTCAACAGTGATGGATGAAACAGCCACGGATCTCCCAGTCAGGGATGTAGGACTGATGAGGGGGGGACTGATGCCAACTGTCCCAGGTTTGTATATTATTATGCTAATATGAGAAACTAATATTCAATGTCAATTTAAAAGTATATACAGTCTTGTTAAAATCCAAATGTTTTCCCCAGATACACTACGTGATGTGAAGACATGGAAGAAGCATCATGTCACGAAGACAAAAGGTCAAATCATTTACAAACCTCATCCTCTCATATGTTGTTTTCCTTTTATAGTACAATTGGAAAGGGTAAATCAAAAGGAAAGATACGTTTTCATTTCCTTTAAACAGCATTACTATTTATTAATATTTTAACTATTTTCCCCACCCTTATGCAAAATACCTTCACTTTATTTTATCTTATAAGTGCGGCATCATAAGAAAATAAATAGTTTTAATATATTTGTGGCTGCCTCTCTCTTCAGCAGATCCTCAGCGCCTGTTTCGGTTTCCCAGAGAGCACCTGGAGGACCTGTGTCTCAGACTGCAGGAGGAAAACAGCGTGCTCAGACAACACACACGGACACAGGAGCAGAGGCTGCGCAGGTGAAAGGAAAATGAACATATATAATAATGAATGTACAGAGCAGCAGACATTTTTGCAGAATTGATCAATCTGTGTTGCAGCCCTAGGAAGTGATTCAAATGAACATAAGACAAGTCCCCTAATATAGCTGATTAAACATCCTCCCTCAGGATGTCCACCAGACTGACACGTCTCCGTCAGGCCCGTCCTGGGTCCACTGGTGTGAAGGAGAAGGACATGGAGGAGACCATACAGGAGCTGGAGGCCCGAGTGGCCATGCTGGAGAGCCAGAAAGGAGTTCTGCAGAACAAACTGAGCCTGGCCAAGCAGCACATCATGGACCTCGGGGGACGCACGCCATACAAGTACAGCAAAGGTGTGTGTGTTGCACGTGAATGTAGACCAGGGTGAGTACTGCTTCCTCTTACATCTCTAAACGTCATCCCTCTCTGCCTCTTTGTGTCATGTAAACTGATGGAGATAGAGGGTGGAGTCAGGAGGGCAGCACAGACCGCCCCGGCCCGCTACGGCCCCTCGCTGGAAGACACCCGGGCGGAGATGGAGAGATTGTGAGTCCAGATGTTTTCGAACCTCTGATTAAGTCATCGTCCCCCTTTCATTCTACTCACCCTCATCATGACTCCACCCTCCCAGCAGGTGCAGTGTGACGGAGCAGGTGAGGGCGGCAGAGCTGGAGCTCACTGCCCAGGCGCTCAGAGACACGCTGAGGGGCAAAGAGAGGGAGATAGAGGACACTGTGAGGGACATGAGGAAGAAACAGGCTGACAGACACAGGTGGAAACAGCAGACATACAACTAGAATCCTTCTGCTGTTTAGGTTGCTCTTCACAACACTAGCCACTTTTTCTGCTTGTACAACAACCATGTCAACTAAACCATTAAGTCCTATTGTTATCTCTTTTTCAGAATAACTATAAGAGATAATGTGGATCAGATCCGTCTACAAAAGCAGCTTTCTGACAAGAGCACCGCCCTGAGAGTCACCCAGGAGAAGTTCAACGACCTGCAAGAGGTTAGAGGGTCCCATTTTTTCTATAAATTACACCTGGAAGAAAATATAAATGCTTTTAGACCACCATAAAACCATTTGGATCAGGCTTAGAAAATGGATCACCCAAATAAACAAATCTCACCTGCTTCTAAGGCCTTCTGTATAACTTGGTGCCAAAAGGACTAACATGTCAATATGCATTTCTTCTTTCCTTCCAGGAATATGAGAACCAGCTGGAGGAGGTGAGTGCTCCTTGACACAAAGAGTTTTATAAAAGCAGTAGTCTGATTCTTCTCATATTAACGTTGCCCTGTGTTCCCCCCCAGACTCAGAGGTCGCTGGGGGAGAGTCAGGGCGCTCTGCTGGTGAAGGTGGAGCAGCTGACTGAGCATCTGAAGCAGGAGAGACAGAGAGTCCTGCAGCTGGAGGGACAACTCAGCACCACCAGCCTGTCTCTTCATACCGTGGACAAGGTACCGCATCTGTACCGGCGTGTTTAAATAAAAACAATGTCACGGAATATCAGCTTTCAAATAATATTTTCTATACTTTGTGTTTCAGCTACAGGAGCAGATTTCAGACCTGGAGGGAGAGCGGGATCTAATAAAGGAAAACTATGACACTCTACTAGATAGGTGAGAGGTTATGACCTGCAAATCAATAATAATAACAAATATGTAACAGAGCTAATGAACTAGGGGATTTGATGTGTGAGGCGTTATGGTAATTAAGATGTACAGTCAATTCATTTAGATGTGACAGTTAATGCAAGTTGCCTTTCAAGATTAGCAAAAAATTGACTTGAGATAAGGTTTACATCAATTATATAACCGATATGTCTTCTTTGACCTGATTTTATTTACTTTACCTTAGTTATTTGTATAGGTTAATACCAAGTAGGTGTTTACATACAAGGAATTTGCTCTCGGTGTATTGGTGCACAACATAAGCATAGTCAAAATCAGCCAACAATCTTACAAAATCGAACAAATTGAAAATAAAAAATGTAAAAGCTGTTCAGTTTTTAGAAGAGTAGAACAATGCCTTCTGAAAGTCATTCTCCTTGTGTGTTCATCTTTATCCTTTTCCATTCCTAGTACTTTATCTGAGCAAAGCCACCACGATGGTACGGTGGAACAGCATAGAGAGGTGAACCAGAGGAGGGGGGAACGGGGAGAAAACATCGGCAGCATGGACACCCAGAGACTGGAGGAACTGCTGCGGGAGGAGAGGGGGGAGAGAAGCAGGCTGGAGCTGGAGAAGGACAAACTGAGGCGAGAGAAGGAGATATTAGAGGAGAGGAGGGAGCGAGAGAGAGGTGGGAGCATTACAGAGCGGCTGCAGATTGACAACAAGAAGAACTTTGGAGTTTAGAAGGAAGCTTTTCATCTGATTGAAATGATTTGTTTTTTGTGTCCTGTGTTGTTTCATTTAGAGTTCTCTGGGACGAGCGATAAAGATGGGCGTCTGGAACAAGAGGTTCTGCAGTACAGGGAGCAGATTTCTGTTCTGCAGGACAAACTGGACTCCGTCAGCAAGGTCAGAAGAGACGAGTATTACTGTCTACACATTAGTCCCTTCTTTTTCTGTTGTATCCTGTTTTGAGTTCATATCTTCAGTGAAGAAGAACTCAGACAATTCAAAAGTAACTGAAGTCATTATTAGTATCATTAGTAAGTAATCATTTTGTAGACTACTACAATTAAAAGTCCTGCATTCAAATATTCTAAAGTAAAAGTATATTAGTATTTACATCGATATGTGCTTAACGTACACATTTCTGAATATCATTACTGGATTCTTTTGGATTAGCATTAATGTGTTCATCACTATGATATCAAGTGTAACTCATTTGAATTACTTTGTATCTTGTTGGCGTGCTTAACCTATGTAATATTATATTGTAATTTATAAGTTAATTTAACATTTGTATGAATAATTTAGCTGTGCAAATCAACTAGTAACTACAACTGCCAAATCAATTTGAAAAAGTTGCATACAATGACAATACTGAGCTAAAGCATTTTAAATGTATTTTTTAAAAAACGTGCATCCCACTGCTGCGTACCCTGACTCACTTTTCATCTCCTTTCTCTCTTGCAGGTGTTTGACATGAGTGTTGAGGATCTCAGTGACACTCTTTTACAGATCAAGGTGTGACACACTTTTCTACCTCTGCTTTAAAAGACAAAATAAATCGCTTTTAAACCTTGATGCATTCTTTCCTTCCAATGTCAGGCATTCAGGATGCAGCAGGAGAGCAGGGCGGGGCTACATTTCCTCTGGGCTGACGGGCAGGTGGAGGATTCGCCTCGTGAGCTGGCAAACATCCAGGCTGTACATGCTGAGACTGTGCTGGAGTTACAGAAAACCCGAAACCTTCTCCTGCTGGAGCACCGCATCAGTAAAGACCTGCAGGTACACACACCTACACAGAAAACACAACTGTCACATACATGTTGAAAAGAAAATGGTGGCATGTTGTAATTTTCTTAACATTCTTTCTCTTCAAATTTAAACTAAACTTTTCTTTCATCAAACGTTGCTTCCTCCCCAAGGAAGAGCTGAAAACAGTTATCCAGAAGCTGGGGAATGAGAGGGAGGAGATGAGGAGGAGGATGACAGAGAAAAACAAACTTTTATCCAAAAAAGCTCTTCAGATCAACGCTTTACAAGGTGTGAGCAACAACACTTATTTCAGTGGTAACACCAGTGGCAAATTGACCCAAAATATGTCCTAATGAGTTACTTCTGTGCTGTCTATCACTTGATTGATGGCAGGCAAAGGCGTTAGCAGAACAAGTGTTTAGTTAACATCAGAACTCATTTTCTCTTTCTTTACACATTAAAGCTCAGTTGAAAGGGTTAGCATACAGCCCCAGAAACTACAAACGGACCGTACCACTACAGTACACCTGGCCAGCCGGAAACCAGGAGTTGGTACAGCCCATTGATGAAGACCTGTCTCATTCTCAGATGATGCCTGGGGAGTCACTGTTGGAGATCCACCTTAAGGTAACAAAAAAAACAGACATTTTATACAATTTAATTTGTGTTTTTTTCAAAATAATACGGCGCAAGTTTCCCAAGAAGCTGAGATCTGTTGTTTGCTCGTCCAGGCCGCCACCTTCACCCCAGCAGGGCTTCGTACCCTCGGCAGCGTCTGCGGGGAAGACATCGTGACCTTCTGCACCTACAGCCTGTTGGACTTTGAGGTGCACTCCACCCCTCTGGTGTCAGGCTGCCAACCCGAGTACGGCTTCACGTCCCGCTACGCTCTGACAGCCCGAGATCTGGGCAGGCTGGGGGGTCAGGGGTCAAGGGTCAGAGTGGAGCTCCACCAGGGGCTAGGAGGGGTCCGGTTTGTGACACATGGAAGCGGGCAGATGTCCCTCATGGCTGCCATGGAAAGAAGAGGGGAGTGCATTGTTGGACGTGTCAATATCACAGGTGAGTAATGTTGTATGAAGAAAAAGTAATATACTGTTTTTGATATGTATAATACATAGTTTTATTTAGAAAGAAAAAAAGGTTAACCATAAAGGTGTAATATATATAATTTGTCTTTGCAATTATTTATATCAATGTGTATTTTATACATCTATTGATTCAAATAAATAAGAAAATCCATACACATGCATCCTGATTGGCCTTCTTCCATATATAAAAATTGTTAATTAAGTAAGTTTCGAATAATTGGATAATTGGATCTGCTACATTTCTAAAAGTATGCCTGTCTTCCTCCAAGACTCCGATGGTGCGTTTGTTGGTGTTGTGGATTTCTGGGTGCGCCTGTTTGATCCTGCAGAGCCTGAGAGAGCCTCTGAGAGGAGGACCACGGCACAGAGGGGTCCGGGGCTCGTCTCTCTGGGCTGGCAGGATGCTGGTCATCAGGTAAAATAGGGGGACCTTTCTCCAGACCTGTGACATTTTTTTTTTTTTAAAGAAAACTATTCACAGTGAGTTCTGTGGACTAAGTGCCCTTTCCATGCTGTTTGCAGGAGTTATATGACTACGGTGGAGGGATCCCCAATGAGTTGGTGGTTGTCGTGGATAGCTGTGTGGGCCTTAACTCCCGCTGGCCTGGTCTCCTCCCTGATGCCTACCTGACGTACAGGTTCTACGACCTGCCGCCTCACGTCTCTCCAACAGTCCGCTCCTCTGCTGACCCGGTGTTCAGCGACTCCACCAGCTACCCACTGGCAGTATCAGCTGATGTGCTGCACTACCTGAGGTATGATGGTCTGGAAATAGAATAATGAATATGCTGGGAATTCAGACAAATAATATCAAAGAGGGCAATTACTTGTTGTTACTCAGCCTTCTTTGTTGGGGTTATTTTTGTTTGTTGATTGTTACCAAATAAGTTAAATCTTTAGTCTTGTGTCAAATTAATAATATCCTAAATAACTTAAATAAATATTTTCTCAATTTACTATAGATGCTGCTATCGAGAATACTTATCTTTGCAAATGATTGACAACTTCACTCCTCTTCTTTCCAGGTCCAGCAGTTTGTGGTTGTATGTGTTTGATGACAGCGATGACCAGATACCCCCTGCCTACCTGGCCAAGACCCCCATACCACTGCGAACCCTCGCTACAGGCAGGGAGATCAGAGGTAAGAGAGAGAATAAGTTAAAAAAAAGACACATTATTCATCTGCATTGATTTCTATACAGGTGAAGCCAACGTGCTATTTTCACTTACATCACATTTTAAAACCAAAGCTACCTAATCAGCAGTTTAAACATGTTTTTATATGTTTTATTTTTGTCTTTCCAGGTGACTTTGTTCTGAGGGATCCAGCAGGTGGGCCTCGGGGAATGGTCAGGGTCTTGATAAAATGGAAGTTCCCTTACCAACCATCTGCAGACACTGTGCCGAGCAGACAGGACAGAGGAATGGAGAGCACTGAGAGGGAGGAGAGGGGCAGAGAGGAGGCTGAAGCGTCAGAGAGGCCTGTGGCCAAGCCCAGAGTGAAGGTGAGATTTAATCTAGTGTGACGACAAGTTTGGGGAATTATTAACCACATAAAACCTCAACTACTTGTTGTGTATTATACCTGGATCCAATTATATTCTCACAATCAAATTCAACTTGGCAATAAGGAAACACTTGTGATTTCAGCAAGAAAACGTAATATTACATTAAGTATTTTGACTTTAAAGGACAACACTGAACATTGGACCTATTCAAAATAAATCTTACAAACAGCAAATGAAGGATATGGCCACGGTGTGATGACGTTGATCAAACCAATACAAATGTTATGATTCTTTTCTTAGGAATATGTGAGTCTTCGCTCATTGATTTACCACTTTTATCTCAAAGAATATCCAGTATTTTTCTTGTTAATGTATTATCTTGAATCGGATCGCTGTGTAACTATTTATTTTGATCTATTGTGGCCCCAAATATAAAATAAATGATGTTTCAAAAGACATATTCCTGTTCTATAGCTTAATGTTCTTCTCTGGCTTTCCCACAGAATCAGCTACTCGAGGAAGGGGACACTAAAGCAGTGCAAAAAGAGCCTAAAGCTTTGGTAAGGTTTTATGCACCAGAAAAAAACGGTGTGTTTTCATGATAATTCAAGCATAAACTATTATTCTTACTGGTGTATCTGTCTGTTTACAGGCTCGCCCTCTACCCGTGAAACAGAAAAGCTCACAGAGTATACAGCTACAGCAACCAATCTCTGTGAAACCACTGGACACAGGCAGGAAGAGATCCACCAAGAGGTCACCTGACCTTTACCACGACACACCACATCTGACGCCTGAGCCACGCCCAACTACGCCCTCCCCTTTGGCAACAAGGAAGTATGTTTCTTTTAAAATATTCACTCTATTATTTAGTTATTGTAAAGCTTCATTGTATTGATGGAGTTTTAGGATTTGTGTGGTAAAAGACAAAAAGGAAAGGAAAGCATTGTCAAGCCAACTATAACTAAACATTTCAACAGATTTAATTGTATTGTATTATAATCCTATTTAAGATCTTCACCCACCACACCATCGAAGAAAAGCTCTGCCAGTGATGCTAGGACTCAGGTAAGAGCTAATTGTCTCCAAAAGTCCGTAAAACATATCTGCTGGAGTCATTTTCACAAGAAACAGATCTAAGGAGACACAAGAGTGATATGGGATCATATGAATTGTCTTCTTTCAGGACCTTCTCTCTGTGGATCATGTGTCCATGGATGAAGAGGAGAAGGAAGAGGAGAGGAGTGAGAGTGGTAACTATTCTAATTCACATATTGGTCCTAACACCTGCTTTTTTTCAATACTTTGGAGCCTCACGCTGCCATTGTTTGAATATTAAAAGAATGATTATAATATAACCCATTTGACTTCAAAACATATACATAAAACAATGATATTAATTCAGTTATTCCTCATGTTTCTTTCTTTTTGACTGAACAGCTGCTAAAGGAGACAGTGAAGCCCCAGATTCTTCAGAGTCAAGCTCCTCAACAAGCGACATTATCATCATTCCACCACAAAGACAAATTAGGAAGGTACGGACAAAAGAGAAGGGAGATTTCAGCATCACTGTGCTCTTATTATCATTTCTACATCCCTGGATCTAGTATGAGTTAAATATGCTGCTCAGATGTTAGGATATAAATAGCTGACTGTGTGTTTTTTGCTTCAGGGAGACAAGCTGAGAGTGGAGATTCTGTCCCTGTCGTTTGAGCCGTCCTCACACGTGGTGAAGGACAAGTCAGTGCAGCGTGTTTATGTGGAGTACCGCCTGCTGGGCGTCCCCATGGAGACGACAGAAACACCCATGTCCCTCCGCAAACCCAGAAAGGGAGAGGAGGTTCACTACAACTTCACACGAGGTCAGAGCAGGAAAGCTTGTTTCTAGAATGATTTCATTATTTTATAACCCTTAAATCCCTCTCTTTCTCTCTTAGTGATTTATGTGGATGGTTCACAGTCAGCTCCACTCAGGCAGTATCTCTACACCATGTTGGAGGGCACTGACCCCAACCAGGGCAGGTAGTGTCATCATTTTTGTTTGCGTTTGTACCTTAAATTCAGAGTAAATTCATATGTTTTTGTCTCTATTTTATGGAATTTCTCGATCCAAAGACCAACATGTAAGTGTGTTTGTCTGTTTGTCTTGACAAGGTTAAAGTTCACAGTAGTCAGTGAGCCGATGGATGATGAAGACGAGTGTGTGGACGTCGGACATGCTTTCCTGGACCTAAAGGAGCTGCTCCTTACTGGAAATGATGTAAACGAACAAGAAATTGAAGGTAAGCAATGTATTTGTATCATATTTTGATACTCAAACCTTCAAAACAAGTCGATTGTGCTAAAAAAAAGAGCAGGCTGCATAGAATTGTATAGCATAACAGAGCATACACTTCTCTTACAGTCTGTCTGTCCCTGTGCTTCTTTTTCCTGCAGTTGTGAGTCTGGATGAAGACAAAGAGGTGATAGGAAATCTGAAAGTGTCTCTGGAAGCAGCGAAAGCTCTGAGTGGGATATACCAGGAGTTTCACAAGAAAATAGACACCAAGAAAGAAGATGACACTGATGATGAAGAGAAGCAGGAGGAAGAGAAGAAAAAAGATGACATTTTGATAGAGTATGATGATGATAGTGACTTCTGAAAGCAGTTAGTATGAGATTAACAGCGAGGTTGTGTTTTGTATGAATGTGTTTTATTAAATTATTTTAAGCATGTTCTTCAACACTTCCCAAAACTTTTTTTTTAATACATAATTCAAGATTCTTAATCAGATCTACACTCATTGGTAAACATAGTGAAATTATTTTAGACTTATACAAATTCAACTTTCAGTAAAAGTATTTTCCCTATGCAAAAGTGGTATTTAGCTGATGATGATCTAATAACTTGTCGTTTAAGTTTATTTTAAGGGCTTGACATAATGTGTATAATCTGTCCTTTTTAACTTGATCAAATAAGCATGCAGGGTCCTCTGTAACTTGTCACTTTGTTATACTGTTTTTGGTTTGTCTGTTTTGTTTTCCATGTTCTCTTTTATTCTGAACAATTTATGGAATTGTAGTAAAGTAGAAGTATAATATCGTTTAAAAAAAATGTAAATATATGTTTATGTTATACATGTCCTGCTTCTGCCTGTAAGAATATTTATAAAAATAAATGTGTTGGCATTGTGATAAATCCATTCATTCATAAAAAAGATAAAAAAATTGTGAATGTTATACACTTTTTTCTAAGAACAAATCAAAGTAAACATTTATTTTATCTACATTTTGATTATTACCAGAGACGGATTCAATGTTAATCAACAAACACATTAAACCTATAGACTGCGTCATCCTCTAATCTGAAATGAGCGTTGCAAGCATGGTTGCAAGATATTTAACGCGCGCTTAATATTTCCGATTTTCTTTGAAAGCATCATCAATTTGAAAACACCCGTGTCATCAAAAATAGCGGGGGAATTGAGGCAACACTTTTTTTCAAACAGTCCTTAGTTAAAACGTGGTTTAAATGCTAGAAAAATATCATGTTTTTCCAAAAAGTTTGAGTTTTCAAGCTATTTGGAGCTAATTGGAGCCAGGGACCGGTTGGCTAACGTGAGCTTGAACACTTCTAAAACGGCGAGTTAGTTAGCTTCAACTGCTACATTATTCTACAACTTGCTCCTACATTTAGCAATGGTGAGTATCTTTTATCTAATGCTCATTTACGTCAACGTTAAAGCCAGACAATTCACCTTGGGCGGGTTTATTGATGTGCCAATGTTAGCTCACAGAAGTTTGAATTTTAAATCCCGAGTTAGCATATCTGCACGTTTAAGGCCTCACGTTCTCCAATGTAAAGACTCTTGTTTCATGAGTAGATGAGCAGTACAGGACCTCTCACTTCCACAGTCATTTAATGAAAATAACAAACTTGTTTGGCTTTGTAATTAACAGAAGGAGACTATGAAGTGTGTGAGCCACCAGCAGGCCAGCCAACTGCTGCATAACAAGTTCATTGTGGTTCTGGGAGACTCCAGTGAGTAGTCTCTTGAATTGAAAATGTCTCGCTTGTCTAAATAATGTTGGAAGAAAACTAGCATGTTGTTATAAGGTTTCAAAGCACCACATTTAAGTTGAAGAAGGGTATGAAAGGTCATTGCTTTTGAATAAACCAGGTCAGCAAGTCAATGTACATTTAAAGTAATTTAGGGTATTACAGTATGTGATAACGTTGTTGAATATCGCGATAACATTAGAGTGCACTCAGTGGTGTCTTTTGCTGCTTAAATGACAACATCGTAGGATTTAAAAAAACAAGATGATATATTTCGAAGCTCTATATTTAAGTGGTTTTGTTGACTGTCCATTTGCCAGGTAAAAACTTTTTCCAATTGTCACGTTAATTCTCTGTCTTATCATCAGTTCAGAGGGCTGTTTACAAGGACCTTGTCCTGCTGTTGCAGAAGGACAAATATCTGTCTTTAAAACAACTGAAGACCAAGGCAAGTTCACATACTCTTCTGTACATACTAAAAATAATGTGAAGAATTCCATATTCATATATTGTTTTTGTTAACTTCTGTCATTAATATAAGATCTCCAAAAGTTGAATGAAGCAACATTTTTCCATTTAAACATGGAAGCTTTTTCATTATTAGACTTATTTTTAATGGCTCTAAGGACAAACTATGTTAAAACATTTTTATTTTTCATCATGTAGGAAGCTTGTGTGTCACACTCGTCCTCACTCTTATATCTTTGTCCTTCAGGGGGAGATGAGCTTTGAAGAGGACTGCCTGGTGGAAGGAGGTTGTAAGAGTCTGATGCACAATGGAACAGGGTACAGGGAGGTTCGGCAGTATCAGTCCGATCACCACCTGGTCCGCTTCTACTTCGTGACCCGCATCTACTCTTCCTACATGAAGAGCATCCTAGAGGACTTCCGCAACGGATTGAAACCAGATGTACTCATTGTCAACTCCTGCGTTTGGGATATTTCAAGGTGGGTAGGTGAAGGAGTTTGTAGTAATCATCATAGTACGTTTTTCTCCCACTTGGACTAAAGGGTATGCTTTGTGTAAAAAAACATCTGAATCTGTTCCCTGGTGTAAGATGTTATTAAATGTCTCATGATGAGAGGGTTCAGAGTGACTTTGTTCTTCATTGGTTTGTCTTTATCTGTTTTAAATAACGTAGATACAATTCCATTTGGCTTGATACCTACAAGGAGAACCTACACACGTTCTTTAGTGAGCTGCGTGGGATTCTGCCAGAGGAAACGCTGGTGATCTGGAACATCACTATGCCATTAGGAGAGAGGATCAACGGTGGTTTCCTGGTACAGGAGGTAGGTTATCACCAGTGATGGAATGTAACCTAGTACAGACAATTACTGTACTGTAAGTAATGTAATACTTGACTGTATCCCAGAGTTAGGGTTTGTACCTTTTACTGCAGTCCCACAGGGACTCTACAAAAATATGATGATTTAATAGAATATAATGCATTGCTGTAAATTTAAATACCAAACGGTAAATATAAAAAGTAAAATAAACAACCTTTTGATATATACAGCAGTAAAATGAAATGTACCAATTAATGCAGCATTTAAATGAATTCAGAAACATCATGTCTAATAGGCAAAAACTGACAAGGAACATTTTACTTCCCACAAATGTTTCTCATGTTTCCTCTTCATTTTGTTTTTCCAAATGTAAAACTCTCCATCCTTCACCTCAGATTGAGCACAAGGCCTCCCACTTGCGTTATGATGTGATCGATGCCAACTTCTTCAGCGGGACTCTGGCTGACGCCTATGGGATGGATGCGTTGGACCTCCACTTCCATTTCCGCTTCTCCCTGCAGCATCGCACGAAGGACGGAGTCCACTGGAACGCCCTCGCCCACCGCAAGATCACCTCTCTGCTGCTCCAGCACTTTGCACAGGCCTGGGGCGTCATTCTGCCCTGTCCACTGAAAACTGTTGGTGAGGAGGAATATCACACTCAAATATTACTGTCAGACAGGATGTGGCAAGACAGGCTACAATAATGGGATGTGGTGTTTTGCTATACCTGTTAGTTCAGATAAATACAGACATCATTGCCATCTTTTGAGCAGTTCCACTAAAATATGCTTTTATTACCTTTTTTTTTTAAAGTAATTTTGTTATTTATTTAAGTTCCTTAGTTAATGAATTAGGTTGACATGAGTTTGTTGTTTTCAGAACTTTCTGAGATTACTGCTCAGCAGCCAACCAATGAAAATGCTACCAAACCTGAAGGTAAGATATCAAATGATGATGTGTGATCAAATGTATTACTATTCATTGATTTAACAAGCAAATGTGTGTAAAATAAGTCATATCTCACAATCTTCCAAGATTAAGAATTCATTTGAATTACAGTTTACTATTATTTTATATATTGTATTTAATGTACTGCATTAAAGTATTTTTGAATTCTGTTTTATATTTCTAATTTGTAGAATGATTTTAAAAAGCATTTAAAACAGTTAAGAAAATTCAGTAAACAGTGGTCCATAAATAATGCTTCTCTGAAATTGCAGAGACCCTGAATACATGATGGCAACACTGATTGCACAGAAAATGACCACCATGTTGGTGTTCATTTTGTAAACTGAATCATTGTTTTCAGTTGTTCTGCATGCTGTTTGCTGATGTGTCTAACGCTGCTGCTTTTTCAGGGGTAAAACGAGCAAAACGTGCAAAGCGTGACTCTTACAACTACCAGAATACCTCAAATGTTTGGGGTAAGATTCTTGATCTCTAACTATTGCCTGTTTCTTTTATTTGTGATATAATTACTGTTTAAAATGAAAGCGGTGGTGAAGTCACCACTTTGGGAAATTGGGACATTTTTTACCTTTTTCAGAAATGTATTTCAGATTTATCGAGTTACAAAATGAATCGATAGTTTGCAAAACATGTCTTTCCTCTAAAGCATCAACAATTAAATGTCAGGTTATTTTGCAGTCAGAAGACGACAACATAGCAAAGTGTTCATATTTTCTGCCATATCCATCGTCTTTTCCATAGATCGACTACAACCAATGGGAGGCTACCACCACGGCTACAGGCAGGAGTCCTGGAACGATTCCTTCTCCTTTGGTCACATGAACACAGAGAACATCCCACCACCACCACCACCACCACCACCACCACCGTCGCCTCACCTGTCCTACAACAGACATGGACAGTTTAGAAGCGGTAAGTTTGTCGGCTGATGTAAATGTGGCAGAGGGACCAAACGCATGTATGGGTTTCCAAATCCTGCATGTTTGTTTTCAAGACCAAGTTATGAGGATTTTCAGATCTAGTTCTAGAAATGTAAAGTATTCCCCCTCATTCATATGTCCTGTATGTCCTGCAGGTTACCAATTCAGGTCTCCCCACCACGTTGATCCCTACTACGAGACGCACCATCAGTACGTGATGAGGAACAGACACGCAAGGCACATCTACGCTCCCTACACCCAGCACAGACCCACTGAAGGCCAGGGTGGCCACTACTACTGAGGCAGGGAGATTTTACAAGATTAAGATTCAGATCTTTATCTTGTACATTTGTTACATTTTAGCTGTTCAAATTTCACATTTGTGTCTTGTTCCCTGGCATAAAATGTAGATTTTAAATATATTTTCCATTTAAGAGATTTTTATACTTGTGTTCTATTAAAGTTGATGCTAAGATTTCAAGAGCTCTGTTTCTGAATACAATGAATCACTTATTACAGTGTCTTTATCAATATTGCTTATCTATTTCCCACTCGGATCCAGTATGGCATAATTATTTAGTTTATTTTAGGCCTTAAACACTTTGATCTGGAAATAAGTGTGATTTAATATGCAATCACAGGAAACTGCTTTGGATCAGTTTGACCAATCCACTAACAAATAATCCTGCCAGGTTTAAAAAAGGTATTCACTTTGCACTTTAGTACAACATCTTTGGATCTTAGACTTAATTATACCATGCTTTGTTTACTGATGTTACTACTTTTTTAGACTTTTGGTCTTTATTTTTTTAATGCATCTCTGATAGACCTCTGATGATCCTTTGGAGACACACCATCAAAATTGTTTGAGTGTTGGTTGCATAAGCGTGTCAGTAGCAGAGGACAGCTAGAATACTCCACAACACAAACATCTAGTAAACTGACAGTAGACTTACATATCTGACGGTAATCTACGACGCAGATGCCTGTCAGATGACATACAGGTATAATGTTTCATAAATGTAAATACATTTACAAATTTGACTGATACAATAACAATGTTTCTTGCTCTGAAGTGAATTGCTTGCTTTTATTGTCTGAATGAATACAAATACAATGGGGAAACTATCAATGGCGGCAAGTACAGTAAAAATGACGTTGCCAGCCTTTCCCACTAAGTTAGTGAAACATGCATAAAAACTTGAATTGAAAACATGACTCCTTCATTGTGTGACATTCAGAAGTCGAATCCATTCAAAACATAAACATCAGTTTTACGTCACTTTAAAGTCACTGCCGTGCCTCAATTTTATTAGTGCTAAAGTCTTAACATTAGAAATAATTTCCTGAGAATCAAGAAAAACAAAAGGGGATAAATAGGTGAATGTTGAAGTAAAGTGAAAGTTGGAATGAGGAAAAAGAAGAAAAGCACTTTTTCGATGTGCTGTGGGCCAGTGGCACGTTGTGTTAGGCCATGAGGAGGCGGTGCACTTTGTGCAGCTGCTGCTGGGACAGGACGAGGCGGTGCACTTGTTCCTGTCCGCGGGTGCATGGGATGGCAACACGCCCTACAAACACTGTTCCCCCCTGCTTCTCTTCCTTGGCCTAGGAAACAACACACATGTAGGCGAGTAAATGTGACATGTGTAACTGCTATTTCTTGAAATATTAAAAGCTCCTGACTAGGACAACAATCACTGATTGTGTTTGTGTGTAATGCAAGGTTTTACCTTCACAAAGGAGGAGACGGGGAAGGTGGCAAAGTCGGAGGAAGCCTTAGCTCCAGGGTTATGGGAGATGACATGTTCAGCTACTTCTCCCTGAAAAAGAAATGTGTCAATGTTTATTAACGCCTGTCAGCTTAATGACATTGTGAGGAGATTAGTTGATGCTGATTTTGTCACCTTGAGTTTGTCCAGAGCGTTACTGAGGTTCTGCAGTCGAGCCGTCTGCTCTATCATCTGGGCGCCGGCACTCACTGGAAGGGAAAGAAGGAACATGAACCATACGCTCCACACAGGAGAGGAAAGTGTAGAGACTGAGGCCCAATCCCAAACCACTCCCTCGACCCTACCCCTCCGTGGCGGAGTGAACTCCGTCTGTAGCCACACTCGCAGCTCAACGAGGCTCCCTCCTGTCAGATGGAGGGAGTAAATACAGCGGCAAGCTTTGGGACAAACTCCCCTCTCTCCGGCAGAAACAGGAAATGCCGTAACTGTATGTAACAACTGTTTCAAATCAGCATCTCTTAGACAAAAAAGGTAAATTAAGAACTCAAATAAAACTCCAAACATCTTTCATTGTGTTACTTTTTTGTAAAGCTCTTTTAGTTTTAAACCTGATGTTTATAAGCTTCTTAGTTTTTGCAACAGTCTGTAAATATACACAACTTTATAATAAAATGCACACATTTACCTTTTTCTAGACTAAACACAGGTACTGTATGATCCTAAGTTAAAAGAATATGAGGTTATCATGAGGTTGTTAACATCGCAATTTATCAGTGGATGTTTGCTGGAACTACTTGTAAACAGCGTATTTCCTGACGGACACACACAGCGTGACTCCGGTCAGGTAGAGACCAGTCTCAAGTCAGCACCGATGCAGACTCGCTGTTTGAGGGCTTGATAGCCCACTCCCCCTCCACACCTCTCCACACTCGTTGGTTTGGAACAGCACTTAATGTGGCGGACCCTCCGCGCGAACGCGCAAACGGAGGGGTAGTGTGTAGGGGTAGGGCGTGGTTTGGGATTGGGTCTGAAACACACCTGCTGTCTTCCCGGTGATGTCCACCACCTTCACCTCTGAACTCAGCTTCAGAAGGGTTGCCAGCAGTTGGTCGGTCCTGCGGTAGATGCCTGTGTTCAGTCCCTCTGGTGGCATGGAGCTATCTTTGGAAGCTTGTGGTAGTTTGGGAGGGCAGAGGGGAGGCAGGGAGGCCAGCTGGGCTCTCATCTTCTCCGCCTGTAAGAAATAAATACTCTTAGTCAATGTTACAGTTGGCATAATACAACCAAATAGTACTAACTTCAACACAAGTTACCTTGAGTCTGTTGTTTTCATTCTTGAGGTGCTTGATTCCCAATCTCTGAGCTTCCACCTGCTGCCGGAGCAGAGGAGAGTCCACCACCTGCACCGATCCTGCCATGGCTGGAGGCAGACCTGATGGAGAGAGAGAGATTGGAGACACATTTAATCACTACAAATATGTTGTTTTTATTAGATTATTTGGATTGTCCACTTATAGGTTAGCTTTTTGCTCATTAAAATGAATGGCTGCTTTTTGATTTTTCTCTTATATATAATTATTTTCTCTTTTTAATTGAGTTTATTCTCCTTAAGTTGAGTGGAGGTCCTTTCTTTTCATTCCGTTACCTGGATTGTATGCATTCTTATGTGTAAAGACTATTTTGGAAGGAAAACATCTCATCCGCTGGTTGAAAAAGCTTTTTAAAAAGGTTCAATTAAAGGACATCCCGACACTTTATCAAAAATAAGACATTTCCGTCTTGAAATGTACCTCCTGCAGATCCCTGAACAATGTTGGCAATTCCAGAGGCAGCTGGGGCTCTCAGGCCTTCGATGGTCATCTTCGATTGGCTGGTAATACGTTGCTTCAGCTCTGCCTTCTCCGCTTCCAGCTGGTCGATGTCAGCCTGCAGGGCATCCATGGTTTCCTCAAACTCCCTGAAGACAAGGATACATGATGGTGAGCATGCAGGAAAGCAAGAAGCGCAACTATGGTGAAAATATCTTCTGTCTTTATCGTTCATACTTTTCTTTCTTCTTCAGCAGGGCAAGGTTCTCGTCCAGTTTGGTCTGAATCTTCTCCACCCGTTCATCTGCGTCTTTAGTGGAGGTATCCAGCTTCTTCTCCAGCAGGCTCAGACGGACACTTGCCTCACTCAGCTCCTCACCCTGGGGGAGAGAGAGGTACAGACACATCAGTGTGATAGTCTTTTTCATACCGCAGACATACCTGTATGAAGTCACTTCGCAGGGAAATGTTTAGTGTTTTTTTTTAGGTGGTGTTACCTTGATCTTGAGGGACTTCTTGACTTCCTTGATGACCGTCTCTCTGTCTTCTAGTTTCACTCCTAGACCTTCAGCGTCAGTCATCTCAGCCCTGACAGTGGCTGCTCTTGCTTCCACTGGAAGGGTCTGAGGACAAGATCAAACAGTAAGAACTGGGACAGGGAAGACCTGATGATGTGATTCATCAAAGAGCAAAAGTGACAGATACCTGGCCCTGTGGTTTGTCAGCATCGTACTCTCCCTCCTGCATGGCCGTAGCCATCTTGTTCATGGAGGTGATGACGGCGCTGCAGGACTGACGCAGACACTCTGTGCCGTTCAGGCCATGAGAGCCATACACCTGGGGAAAAAAAGGTTAGATTTGAATAAACCAATAACACAGCTGCAACCTTAAACCTACCACCTATGTCTATTTGTCCCAAAACTACAATACTCAATACACAGGGCATAGTGTTTTTAAACAAATGCCAAGAAACTCAATCTGTCAGCAACAAATGGCCCATTGTTGGTACATGATTATAGTTGAACTACCTGCTCCAGAGCCTTGCAGGCGATATCCTCCAGTTTGAGAGCGTTGAGCCCCTCCTGTTCTGCCACCTGAGCCACCATCTGAGCTCCAGCTGCAGCCACCTCCTGCAGCACAGCCACCACACGGGTGTGCTGGCGCCTGCACTCCGTCAGCAACTCCGACACCTCCGAGAGGAGACAAGACATGTCAGTCAAATATATACTGTGGATCGATCCTTTTGTTGTCAGCTTTAGAGCTCCAATGATCATTACATCCTAAAAAAGGAACCTTTCTTGCTCTTCTTAAACCTACATTGAGCTTTACTTTCATACAGCCATTTGTGTGTTTTAACTTCTTGTCTTTGTGTGTTTCTGTATCCCATACCTGTGGTCCAAAATTGAGAGCAACAGGTACTCCAACAACATCTGTCCCGGGCATGCGACGGCGGATCTTCTTGCAGAACTGTTTGATATCAGAGCAGGAAGTGTCCAGGTCCTTCAGAAGGACAGCGAAGTTGGAGCCCTCCTGACCTGCAGTCAGGAACACCCGCAGACGAGCCACCTCCACCCCCATGCAGTCCAGGACACTCTGGGTAAACTGGAGGTGAGAAGAAGCGATTAGTGACGTATCGAAACATTCATTCCATTAGACATGGCTAATAATAGGGATAATATATGTTCTTAGAGGGAAAAGTTCTCTGTACTGGGAGTCAAAACGTGTCAATCTTTATAACTTAAAGGAAACACGCTGCTGAAGAAACTTGAAGTACCTTAATGTGGTCAGCCAGCTGCACTGTGCAGTCTTCAGTGTGATCTGCCAGATGGACGCTGTACAGTTGCTGGAAGATAAAACAACAGTGAGAAACTTTATGCATAAGAAAATCAATTGCACTGTTTCCCTTGAGTTTGATTGAGCCTGTTAGAAGACAGATTAAGTAAGTTGTTAATTATATAACCACATTCTGTTGTTACCTGGTAGTACTTGATGGCCTTGGTGAGAGGTTCCACCTGAACGGTCTCATCCAGCTGATCTTTATGCAGCAGGTCGATGAAATAGTCCAGAGAGCGCTCATGGAAGCTCATTTCAGAGTAGAGTGTACCCATGCGCTTAAAGACCTCCACGCTGCAGGTATTCAGAGCCCTACAAATCAGAAAAAAAGCAGAATACACAGATTGTGTTACCAACTTATGTTGACAATATCACTGCAACATATTAGAACATCTTATATATTTGTTGCTGAGCTTACTGTTCATATTTATGCAGAGTGGCCTGCAGCAGGCTGAGGGAGTAGACCAGTCCTGAGGCAAAGCTGCGCTGATCTCCTGGAGGCCCCCGGAGCCCCTGGCCCTGGGGCAAGTTCCCGTTCAGGTCAAACTTCTCCTGGGCCTGTTTACTGATCAGCTCAGCCTGCCAGGTAAAACACATACAGAAGCATTCATTATAGTCGAGTAGTTTATTTCAATCATCATCCACCAACAAAATCGTACATCTCCCATTCCTAACAGACACAGCTTCATACCTTGCAGATGAGCCGGGGGATGAGCAGAAGGACCAGAATACAGTCGTGATCTCCCCCATGACGGAGGAAGGAGTCTGGCATGAAGGAGGTGAGGAGGGACACCTGTCTGTTCGACTGAGCCACCTCCATTTTCCTCAGCTCCATCTCAATGGCCTAGGAACACAGATCAACAGGCAGATTTGGTCAAATGTGTTAAACTGGTCAACTCAACCTTCCTAGTAGGACAAAACATGAAGCTTTGCTACCTTAGCATAGGCCTTGGTCTCTGCAAACTTAATCTTGAAGTCAAACAGTTCAGCAGGCGGTTGTTGAACTTGTTCAGCATTTGCATTCTGCTGGCTGATCAGCTCTCTGTTGGCATCCTGCAGGGGAACAAAGGGAAATACAGTGTCAGGGAATTCCTCATTCAACTCGCTGATTATTTCCTTGAGTGTTCATGTTCCCCCTCCTCTCCACCCACCTGTAGGCTGGTGGTCAGATCTCGGTATTTGTTGATGGTCTGCTGGTAATCAGCTACAGTCTCCTGGGCAGCCTCCACCTTTTTTTCAGCCTCTCTGACCTTCGCTCCGCTCAGATCCACATGCTCCCTCAGCTCCATTTCCGTCTCCCGGCCGTTCTCCTGGAGCTCATCGTTCATCTCGTTGATGGCCTCCTATAGTCACGGGAAAAAGTAAAAGGTCAGTAACGGGTTGATAACAAAAAAAAAAGGAGATGTCTTTGTACTATTTTGTGGCTACTCCATGCCATTATGTTGGTAATTAAGTGAAATATTTTCTACACAAAAGTACATTTAAATCCAATTGTGAATACTTCCATAGTATGAACATTTTGTATTTGTAAAAAATAGACTAAAGTAAATAGGTTTTAATACTGAAGATAAGAATCATGGTGCCGGTGTACACACCAAATCAATGACGGTTTCTCTCATCTCTCTGACTTTCTCCTCCAGGTCGAGGTTCCTCTCCGTCAGGGTCTCCACCATCTCCTCTGACCCCAGAGCAGCATCCACCTGGTACAAGCAAACACACACAAGCATACGAGTAGTTACATTTACAGAAAAAGTCTGTTTTATTTTTGTAATATAAATGTGTCTCAGCCTTAATCTTATTTATAAATAACTATGAAATCCCTCTACTTTAACCTGAAGAAAGCCGCTTCAAAAACATATTCCTCCATTTCCTTGCTTCTCGCCGTCTTTACCTGCTCCTTCAGTTCGTCGACTGTGGCCTCCGCCTGCTTCACATCTTCCTGAAGCTTCTCCTTGTGAGTCCTCAGGGTTTCCAGCTCAGTGTTCTTCTTCTCCATCTGCTTCTGCAGCTTCAAATGCTCCTGCTTCTCTGAAGTAGACAGGTCCCGCATCCTGAGGACAAAGGGACATTTGAATGGTTTTATTGCAGATCTTATAACCTTATATGTTTTAGGAAGTTCCAATAACAAGTGCTTTGTTTATATTTTCACTTTGATCAAAGCTGCTTTTTTGACATTTCACTGACCGAACCAATGCCTCCTTCAGTCTGCTATTCTGCTCCTCCAGCTGTTTGACATGGTAACTTGAGGCAGCTCCATCTGACCCTGCAGGAGGAAAAGACAACGAGCCACAGTTAATAGAAGGAAGGAGAGACACGTATATGAAATACAGAGGCCTTTGTAGACTAGTGAGTCCAAACCTTTCTCTGAAATCTCATGTCTAAGGATCTCCAGGTCCATGGAGAGCTCCTCCACCTTTTCCTTCAGCGTGTCCACCTCCACTTGCAGCGACTCTGACCGCTCTTCAGCCATCTCTTTGTCCAGTGTTGCCATCTCTATGGCGTCAGCCGTGTCTGACATCTCCTCCATGTAGTGGTCCTTGGACTCCTGTGCCTCCCGGGCATCCTGGAGGGACAACATGAGAGAGAACACTCTAGAAGGTCTGCTACTTTCAGTCTTAAAGGTTGGAAATTATCCATCATTTCCTATCCTAAAAAGGACAAGTATTTCTTTCTTTCTTTCTTTGTATCAACATATAGTAAATACCAATAATGCTCTTACAACAATTGATAAGTACTTGATTTTTCTGTTTACCTTCTTAGCTTCTTTGAGCTGTTTCTGCAGGTCAGCCTGCTGCTCCTGCATCTTGTTCTTCCACTCCTGAAGCTGCTCCAGCTGGATCTTGTGTTTCTCGAGCTCCTTCAGCTTGGCTTTGTCCTCCGTCCGCTTCATCTTCAGGGTTTCCAGCTTCTCCTCCAGGTCCTTGACCTGAGCACGCATTGATTCCTCCTCCTGAGAGGGATGGATGGGTGGGTGGAGAAGCAAGAGGACAGTTTAAATGCTTTTAGTTAAGAGGATTAACTGGGCATCATCGATTGCCAAAGACTTTATTTTAATGCCGAGATATATAAAAATATATCAAGTCCCACCACCAAATTACCAAGAACAAGATTATCAATGTTCCAAATAAATGTTCAAATAATTTTCCCAAGTAAATTCATCCTCTGATTTTACATATATTAGCAAGGAAGACAGATTAATTAAATCCCTTGAAAACAAAAGTGGAATTTAGTATTCAGTGTCTCAGAAAGGTAACCCATGCATCATCACCGCAGAATTCACCGTGAGGACTTTTTAAAACCAAACTCAAGTATTGAGGGTCATTTTGCCCTTTGATGTTATTCGAGTTTGTTAGTAAACTCATGCCAGATATCACCAGCATGCATGAAGCCATTAGAAGACTCTACCTGCTTGGAAATGACAGGTTCCACCTGGTCAAAGAATGACAACATGGATAAAATGGGACAAAATGCCGGATAAAATAGAAAACAAAATGATAGAAATGAGACAAACTGCTAAGTACTGAAAAGAAAATTATTTGAAGTTACTATTGTTGCTTGGTGCAACGTCTGTTCTGACCGTTTATAACGCTGCTGGTCCTTCATTTTAAACCATACCATTCTAACAGCAACATACCCATGCTAAACTTTTGTTAAATAAATGTTGTATGATAGTTATACACTTTACACACACGTAGATTAGGCAGAGCTGTCTGAATGCATTACCTTGCTTGGAGTAGCTGGAACCGCAGCTGCTGATGCTGCAGGTGACCCGCTGGGCTGAGGCATGACAGGAGCCCCCAGGGCGGCCGGATGGGAGGGGTGGGCCGCCTCACTGACATCTCCAGACAGAGAGGTGGACAGGCTCTCACGAGACGCCTGGTGACCAGAGCAGGTATGTTAGTGTGGGGAAAAAAGGAAAGAGATAGAAAGGGGAGGATGTTGTGGTGTTTAAGTGTTAAATATCACTCAAGCCAATAAACAAAACAAGAGCTTCTCCCACACACAACTGATCCAAGAGTGAACATCCGGCTTTACATGCTGTGCCGCTGGATTGTCGTATGTAAAAAACAATAACCTTCCTGACTTCATCCGTTAACCCACAGACCAAACTTCCCAGTGTCCCTCACAGGAGATGTAGTTCAAGTTCCTTCATATACCACTTTAAGTTCATATATCTGGTAGATCCCTGCACCTGTGCACCAAAGGACAACACTTCACCAGTTTTCAGTGACATAACAAATAACCACTCCCAGTGAAGTAAAGGGTGAGGTACCCTGATATGACAGGGCGTACCATGAGCGGCAGCAGGTTGGAGCGGACGGAGGGACGGATCAAGAGGGAGGGGAGGGAGGTGGCGGGGGTTAGGCGGCCTGGAGTGCTCCACTGCCACAGTGTGATCATAGACACTGCGTTAGGTCTCAAGAGTTATTTGTAAAATTCAACTACATAGTTAGCTTATCGTAACAGAAAGAAATCTTATCAGAAAACACAAAAATGCATGGCCTTTTAAAGTTTTCAAACATTTAAAGCTGTGGCCTTGATTTAACTTGCAAAGCAGCCACAGAATGTTTACATTAAAATAACAAAACTTTTACGAGACTGATGTTTTTAAATCAAACTGTTTTCCTCCACAGTCTGCTGTTTACAAGCTCACCTTGGCAGAGCGTCGGGTAGAGGACTGGAGGAGAGGAGGTGAGTTGCAAAAAAGAGGGATGGACACGCATACACACAAGCGCGCACACAGATATACAAACACACATTCATTGGTGAAGCAAGATAAGAGATTAGCAGCACATCAGAATCACACCCACTGTTAGTTAATATCATACGTTTGACGGCTGCATGCACCATTTGTAATAGTTATTCTTGATGACTGGAGCCATGGACGCTGAATAAAATGTAAACCCATGCAACAGTGTTAAAACAGTTGCAAAATGTGACTGGATTGTGAGACTAAAATGAATAACCAAGACACCACCAATACGGCTGTACAACTGTGGTTATTTCACCTCTTAATGCGTGTGCTGGATGCAGAACAAAAGATATTTTGAAACGAGCACGAAACGACAACATCTGATGTACAAAATAAAGTGAAAACACAATGACTTGTATCAATGCCAAGAGATGTCTTTATGTTCCGTGCAAACGCCAAAATGTAAAGGTCCAAATACAAATAAAAGATGAGTAGCCACGTTAGTGTGATTAAAAGAACCAAGGCAAAAAGCAAACGTGTTGTAATTTAATGTTGTTCTACCTTCTTAATGTTCACAGGTGTCTGCAAAAAGTATTCAGGGAAAACAAAAAAAAAAAGAGGTCAACCCAAAGGCTGAGAGACACGAACAGAACCCCATTGACATTGTACAAAAAAGAGGAATATTTGGGATCAAATTTGAAGTCAAAAAGACAAAACCTAGAAAGCTGCTCTGGAAGGACAGGAATTTGCTTAGGTGATTAACATTAAAGACTCAATATAAAGACAATCAATGTTCGAAGGAAAGTCATGAAAACAACGCAAAACTAAAGTGAAAAGGACTTGAAGCAGTGATGTGCAAGTGAAGGTTGCCTACCTGCTTGGATCTGGGAGTCTCGGGAATGTCTGGACGAAACAAAATAAGAATTATGAATTTCTGTTTGTATTTACTCATACTTTCAAAAGTATGGATTTCAAACACAGCTGTGATTCCCTCTTACCTTTCTGTCTCAGTGTCCTTGCAATGCCTGATTCAGGAGTCTCTGGTGAGGTGGCACCAGAGCCGTCATCCACCACCTGGAGCTGTGAGAGTGACAGGGGACCAAAAAGTGTGTTGATTCTGGCATCTTGTCGGAAGTACAGGCAATATCGAGGTCAGCAAAAATCATCAAGATAAGTTCATCAATAGTTTAACTTATTGATAACGTAATTATTGTGACAGGCATGCATCCTTACAACATAACAAGTTTATGTCACTAACCTGGGACTGTCTGACAAATATCCCGTGGTTTTCCTCACAGGTGAAGTAGCGTTTCCCCTGCACAGTGCCATCATTCTTGCCTTTGGCCTCATCCAGGATGACACCCACCCATTTCCCAGAGGCAAAGAGGGTGGCTCCGATATAAGCAACGGTACCACGCTGACCCTTCCCCGTCACCTCCACTGTAGAGCCAATCTAGAAGAGGACGAGGACAGACTGAGTCAATGCACATATTTTGATACTTGTTTGTGTTTTCCTATCAATGTATTTCTTTATTTTGTCTGTTTTTAAAAGGGGACCTACCTTTGGAGGCCTACTACTCTCCACCGTTCCTGCGCTGCTCATTTTGCTGATCAGTGCGCTGGTCAGCTGGAGGATTTGGGGAATACATATGGGAGGAAGTAGGAAGAAAGATGAGGAAATGATGGCGAGGGGAAAGAATAGGAAGTTTGTTGACCAATGGGAATGGGGGGAACGGTGGGAGAAATGGAGACAGAGAGGAAGGAAGGAAGGTAAGATCATTACATAACAGACAATGTATTTGCTTTATTTCTGCTTTTCACAAAGAATATATCTTTCAATATCATATTCTTTGTGAAAGACATAGCTCAGTAAGGTTATGTATGATACTTTTTTTTTTTTTTTAAATATGTACACAAGTCCTACAAAACACCCAAGAACCAGTATGGTTTTATGTGTAACATTTATGCCATCATATTTTTCCCTGCTCCCGCTAGCAGTCTATGGAATTAAAAATATTCAATGACAGGACAGTCTCAAGGCCACTAAACACAGAAAAACACTCATGCACCCAGTCATGTGTCCTGGACCTCAATAGACTTCCTGATAAACAAGTCATATCCCTGCCTAGCTCAGACAAAGATGCTCATTCAAGACAAACTGGGACTGCAATAGAGTCTAATCCTTTTATGGAGCTCTAGAGACATGTGGACTCACGCTGCGTCAGTTTTAAACCACAGGGCAGAACACTGGATAGAAAAAGTTCATCAAAGCTATATGACAGAAGGAGAGAGGTACTTTTAGAATCCTCTAGATTAAAAACATTTTAAGATTAATGGAAACCAAAGCATGCTTGTGGGTTACACGTAAAGTAACTTAATGTTCTCTACAGGTTATCAAGAGTTTTATTCCTAGTCGCTATTCCTGATCCAATATGCAACCGAGTGAATCCTGCATCCATTATATGGTGAGTGCCACAACAATTTGCTTTTGATATTTTTATCCAATATATTTAAATGACATTCTACTGATTACTTGAATGAAAGAAGACAAATCCGATTTACTAAATTAGTCATTATTCAATATTGAGAGTCCATGTTACTCACCCGGGGGGTATATGAATGTCGCCTGTTTAAAGCCATGATAGCAAGTTAAGATGGTTTCACCTTCAATACAAAGATAAGGCTAAAGTGCTAATTTTTCTCTGCTTTCACATCCCTTCCTCTTTTCAGGAGAGAGGAGAGGACAAAGACTGATTTCAGGGAGGGACCTTATGTGGTGCATCACAAAACGTCACAGCTGATTTGAAGTAAAAAAGGGAGGGATATCTAGCTGTTGTTTATCCACACAGAAACATACATGGAACACATGGGGCCAATTCAGCAGGGATGTGATAAACCTTCATTTAGATAGACATTATTATTTACAACTCGGTAGTAAGTAGCAATGTGAATAGAAATTGCTGCATTTCCCCCTTCTTTTTTGTAATTCAATAGTTAGTCATCTTTAACAAACTAAGATGTTAACAATTAGTTCGTTTTAATGATACAATCAGTTACCAGTTGAAACACTGTGGTTAACTTAAGCTAACATGTCACTTCTTTGTACTGTTATTGAGAGAGCTGGGTGCTAGATTAATTTCACTATCGGCTATTATTCGGTCATTAAACGATATAAGAGCTCAGTGAACAACACAAACAGGACACAAAAGTATTACGACAGAAAAGGGTGGACAAATGTCATGAAAGACAACAAGCTAGTCTGCTTTAACGTTGTAGCATTATTAGCTTGAGATACACTCACATTATTCTGACAGCCATACAAAGGATGGTTTGAATCTCTTAAGTTAGTTATTTAACTTACGCTTTACTTTAATACAGGCCTAGGTTTAGTTGGATATTAAAATGAAGTCAACAGCTAGGCAGATTAGCTTCATGGCTAACATTAAAACACTCCAACTAGGCTTAGCAGGCTAAAATCAGAAAGAAGCTAACTCATGATGTATTCTACAATGTAACTCACCTGGCATACACAGAAATTCCTCTCTTTAAATGGGGCTCCTTAGGGTGTTCATACAGACAACAATGATCTTCTGTTGTTATTTTGTCGGCTACCTGGCTTGGAAATCCGGTAGTCCTTTCCGTTTTTTGACAGCTCACTTCCGGTGGCCTGAACGACCAAAGTTAAGCAGAGACGTGTAAATTAGCGCCCCTAGTGGCCACGCCCATTTGTGGCGAAAGACCATAACAAGGTAAAAAGCAACAATATTTGTGTGGAAATCTCAAAGCGACATACTTTGGGATAGTATCTAACTTTTAGATCACACAACAAAAACACTGTGTGTATGTTTATTAATGGTGTGTGTATTCCATATGACTTAATTTACTTCGTGCCTATATTTGATCATGGGGATTGGGCAATTCGGCCTGTTTAGAGCAGGACAATTGATGAGTGGAAAGTGTAAAGTTAACACAATAAGAGGCTTAATCAAGAGGCCTATTTCATAAGGGTTTAGAAATGTGGATTATTAAATGAAAAAGTAATTTTAATTTACATATTGGAGTTGGTGACATTATGCCTCAGGTCAAATATTTTTAGAAATGGGAAATACATCAATCAATTTCGTTGTCAAAAATATAACACTAAATACAAAACTAAAAATACATACATTATTTGATTGAAACATTAAATATAGAATGGTTACGAATAATGTTGTATGTGTGTATTGACATGACAACAATCCCTATCTACTTTGATAAACCATTAATCCTTTCAGACTTTTATTTCTATCAGTTACTCATTCTATAGTTCCAGCTTCTCAGATGTGAGGATCTGCTTCTCTCTGCTGCTGGATGGTCGTGTTGTGTTGTGTGGGAGATGTACCCTCTATGCTGTGCTGCATAGAATATATCGACGTGTAATTAGCCAGAACCCCGTGCACAGCCGACCAATCGGGAGGCGGAGGAGAGGCTGTCCCCGGACCGGCTGGCAGAGAGCAGACACCCCGGGGAGAGTGCTTCTTCGGCCGCAGCCCTGTGGTGGTGACAGCCCTGACAGCGACTGGAACAGGTCCGCACTTCACTTCTCCGTCTCTTTAGAGCAAGGTAGAGGTTTATGTAGCTTTTATCCTAATTTACATTACTTTTATAACACACAGGCAAAGTTGTCGGGTATTTATTTAGCCTCTTTCTGTACTACCGGCTAGGATGGCTCTAAAGCTGTCAAGCTAGCTAGGACACAAGCCCGTACTTCCTGTAGTGACTTTCAAAGTTAAAACTTGTGTGACCACTATGCGAGGTAAAATAAACTTGGTGAGTCTTTGTAGTTTTATTATGAAGGCAACATTTATGTGTTCCGTTGTTGTGCTAGCATCCCTCAGGTAACTTAACGAGCCGCTGTCCCGGAGGTGGCAGGAGGATTTAACTCGATGTTATGCTCAGTATCGTCCCCTGAACTGACTACATGCGATGTCTGGTGGTACTCTCTGCCGGTTTCATTCAATAAATCACGACTATTTTAATTAAAGGTTTGTACAGAAAATAAATAAGACAGGGCAACTTTATCCAAATAGTTTCAGTTCCCATAGGGTGTGGAGCACAGGAGTGTGACGAGTTACGTCATTCGTAGTTTCCCTGTCCCATCCGCTGCCTGCGCTGCAACAAAATCAACAAGTGGCCGAAACTAATCTATTGCTGGGAAATGTCTTTTTAACCACTATCGCGAATCCGACATGTATATTTCAGTTGTTTCCAGTAAAGTACAAACTTTTTTGTTCATAGATGCCTACCATTAAAATAACTTAGTTTTCTGAATTCTTCAATTCAAGGTATAGCTTTAACACAGAAAGGGTCCCGACTGAAACAAGGGCGTCTTTCTAAACACTCAATGCAAAGTTGGTGAGATAGACTACTCTCCTGAAGTGATTAATTTCCATTCCAAATTATTTCTGGACGACTAAAACTGCGTCAAAAGGTTGGCCACTACATTATTGTACTGGGCAAACCCTTTGCATAAATATGAGGCTGTTTGTTGAGGGTGTGTCTCTTCATCCAGAACTCAAGCCTCAAGCTTCTTTTATCATATCAAGATATTGAGATGTAGCTGTTATTACACTTTTCTCAAAGCTTTAATTGACTCAGGTTTGTCCCAAAAGGGTTTTGTAAATTCATCTTTTGGGTGGTTTGGTTTGCCTGCAGCCAAGCTGATTACCAGCAGATAATTGATAATAACCACTAATAAAAAATGAAACACACTACATATCAATAAGCACAATATCCAGTTGATGTTAAATAGATTTTTCCCGAAATTGCAGTTGATTTGTTGTACTAAATTATTTAGATGCCAGGTGTGAAGATGATTACATTTTCAACTAATATACAACATTTTGTTTATTTGCTTACAAATGTATTTAATTATTTTTCAGATGGCTGACGTGGAGCTGGTGAAGAAGATGCTGCGGGCCGTCCTCCAGGCCAACAGAGGAGGAGTGTCACTGTCACGTCTGCAGTCCGAGTACAAAGAGCTGACCGGGGAGCAGATACCGCACAAACTGATGGGACACAACCACCTGGATGCACTGCTATCCAGCATGCCCTCCGTGGTCCGCACAGAGCGCGGCCGCTCTGGAGAGGTGTGTGTGGCTGCTGCAGGATTGTTGATGATTAAAGATAGATGTGTACACATGCTTAGCAATAATTAAATAAGATTATTCTTTACATAAGCATATTTCTTCATAGCACAATGTATCCAAATACAGTGTGCATAATTTGGATAAGATTAACCCCCAGGTTAACCTCATATTAACCTGGGGGTTAATATGAGGTTATTCCTTTTTCTACCTTGTGATGTATCTCCAATTAATATCTATCTACTCCTCTCTTTCCTGCAGATTTTATGTTTTGCGTCAGGAACAAAAGAGACGGCCCACATCGCTAAACTGGTGGCTCGTCAGCGCAGCTCGAAGAAGACAGGCCGACCCCACCTGGTCAACACCCAGATGAGGGTCAAACCGGCGGCCCCGCTCGTACTCAATGGTAAGATTTTGGAGCACTAGCAAGCATAAAATAGCTACATAGTCAATTTTATTTAACTGATTTTACAAATAATGATCGATCCAATATGTATGTATATTGTTGTTGTTATTGAATTTTTTTTAGCATGGAAAGCTTTGGGCTAGTCACTCGTCTCACATTAAGTCCGAGTTAAATCAACTTATGCAGGGTTTTCAACACATTACAAGTTGCCCTTTGTGGATGTTGGAGAGAAAACATATTGGCAAGGCGATGGTTTAGTGTCTAATGGCTTAACCATTACAGTATTCAACAGGAATACAGTTTCACAAGATTCACATAGCACTTTGCCCTTTAACAGCCTCTTCTGGAAAACACACATTTAGTTCTTTACAATTACACAGATCCTTACTAAGTCACAAGGTGCCTTTAAATCACTTAGGTTTTGGATTGAAGGTTGTTCCAGTAGCTGAATTTACATGCAAGGTCTGCTGTATAGTGTGTATCTTAAACTCGCCCCTAAATGTGGACTTAATTTGGTTTTCTAAGAATCACTGAAAACTCATATAGTAATGTTGTCTGTCCCTCAATCCAAGAAGGGGCCTAATATTTCAAAACTTGTAGAATTTCTTCTTAGATGTTCTGATTTGCAAAAAATTGTAACAGGCTGAAGTTGACACATGCAACATGTATTTTTAATATAAGAAGTGCAAATAAATATGCTCTTGCTGCTCTAAGCTGCACTCCAAGGAAACTGGTGTTGGGTGCCTTGTGCATGCATGCGTGCAAGAATGTGTGTGTTGAACTCTTGTGTATAACACTGAAATAGAACCATACATGTTTATAAAAGACTTGAATGTTATTCAGATGCAAATGAGTAACTGCCTGGCTGCATGATTAAAAACCGGTTTGACAACATGCCAAAGAGAACTTTGGATTCATATCAGCACTGATATACACTGCATGCTGTGTGACACAATATTCCTCATGACTTCCTATAAGTCCATAAGTGATTGTTGTATACAAAATATCTGCCTATCTTTGCTCTTTAAAGTCCTTCCTGCATATTGATGATGGAAGAGCATATTTATTTATACTTTGTATATATGTGTTTGTACAGCAAATATTAGACTGACCAAGTTAAATCAGCCAAGTAAGCTTCATCCTCTAAATCCAACTACTCCTTTTCTTGACATTTTCTAAGTTTGGGGATGAATGCCTGGCCTATTTGAACTGTTGCTCTGTGGGGAAATGCAGCTCTTCAGGCACCAAGAATATTAAACACACACATTCAAGCAGGTGTATCCGGTTAATATGTGAACAAAGATATCTGTTCAAAAGCACTATTACTGTATGACCACATACAATACTTATTCTTATACTTATACTTATACTTATACTTAATAACCTTATTCATCTTTTTTTAAACTGTATTTGTTAATGACACATTCATATACCATAACTGTCATATGCAAACATGCAAGAAAAAACCTCAGCACATTCACAGACACACATAGACGCATGCACAGAAACGTCTTTTCAATGTATACGCCTCTGCTAGACTGTGAGTCTGCAAAATATTCCTAGAGAGTCAGAGGAGTAATTGGGGAGGTGGTAGAGCAGGGATGAGAGGGAGGAGAGAAGAATGTTGGAGAAGAAAAAAAGCAGAAGGGAGGGGGGAGTCAGAGAGAAGGGAAGAGAGAAAGAGAGTCGGGTGTTGAGATTTGAGGCTAACGCAGCCTATAGCTGCTGAGACTCAGCTGCAAGCGAAGAGCTTCTGCTTCACAGATCAACCTCTTCATCTGTGTCTCTCATTCTCTCCTCCACATCCTCACCAGGATATTGATATTCAGGCAGAGACACACCAGGGACTGTGTGTCCACGCTGGTGAGGTGACGCCGCGTCTGCTCTGAATGAGTGTGCTCTTCATTGCCTGTGTTTGCATGTGGATTTATCTGCGTGTGTGACTGTCCAGTTTCTGTAACGTGAACGACTCTCCTTCATTTTCTGATTGATTGATTATCTTCCTATAGCACATAGTATACAGGTAGCATATTCACTCAGAGAGAATAGAAGACACAGATGAAGATAAATTAAAGAGACAATAGGAGGAAGAACTGAAAAAGATGAGGGGGCGTGGGAGTGG